GAGGAGAGGAGAGGGCATGGGAGGGAGGGGAGGTAGAGGAGTGCAGAGTAATCGCACTTGTACAGGACGTATCCCAGCGATGGGTTGCCGGGAAGCAGCAAGTTGTTCCTCTCGACGATCGTGACTGGGCAGAAGCCTCCGAAGTTAACGACGAGGTTTGCGATCTCGGGGTTGTCTGACCTGACATTGAACAGAGTCATAACAGACTCCTCCCTCCGTCTCCTCCCCTCCCTCCTTTCCTCTTCCTCTCACTTCCTCTTCTTCCTCCATTGCTGCCCCCATCCTTCCTGTCTCTTACCGGTACACATGAATCGCTTCCGAGGACTCGACATTTAGCGCTGCCTCGATCTTCTCTCCGCTCACTGACTTGCCCTCCGTCTGACCCTCCCCACCCTCCTCCCCTGCTGAATGCGATGGACTTCCTACCCCCACTGCCTCCTCCCCTGCCTGGCCCTTCCCCTGCGCCTTGCTCGTGATTCGCTGAGCAGCAAGTCAATCAAAGACAGCAGGTATATCCTCCTCTCCTCCTTCCTCCTCGTCCTCACCTCCACCAGCTCCTCGTTCAGCTGCTTTACGTAACGCGGCTGAGAGAACTTGAGGAGGTCCTCGAAGATCCCCAGCAGCGCGTGCGTGTGTTGGTCGATCTCCTTGCTCTCCACCCAGAGCTTTGCCAGGTTCTCGAACAGAGGATAGACCTTCTCCTTGGGCACTGCCGTCTTTCTCCCCACCAGCTCCCTCAGGTCCTCCATGTTCCCGTCGTGCTGCCGCTTCAGGTCTTTGGACCGGTCGCGCAAGCTCAAGAGCTCCTCCTCGAAGCTCTCCAGGAAGTTCAGGTACTGCCTGCAAGAGATCTGATCAACTCTTCATCTACCTCCTGCTCCCCACCCTTCCTCCTCTCCTCTCCCGTTCCATTCTCCCCTCCTACCCTTCCTCCCCTCCATGACTCCCCTTTCCTTTTCTTCCTCCCTGGAGCTGCTCTACACACCTTCTGTTGGTCAGCTCATCCTGCACTCGCTTCAAGGAGGCAACGAGCGTCTCGTCCGCACTAGCCTCCGCTCTCTGCATCATCTCAATCGCCATGGCGTACTCCTCCACCACCGCTCTTGCTTCCTCGAGCTCCGCGTCAACCCTGTGGAACAAGTCCTCTATCCTCGTGTGGGACTCGGAGACTTTGTCGGGCAGGTCGACTCCTCCCTTCCCGATCGACTTGTTGAACAGGCGGATGCCCAGCACGTAGTTGAACAGGTCCTCCATCCTCTCCCGCTTATCTGCATACGGTAGGCTCGAGAACGCGTGCAAGTTGGCTCGAGGCAGGACGCTCTCGAGCGCTGCCGCTACCTCCTTCTGGTAGACTTCGCTCTGCGGGTCCTGCCCTGTCTTGGTGAGCAGCGCAGCGATGATGAGCTTGTGTAGCTGGCCCATGGTCGCCACGTCCTTGGCATGCTGCAACTTTACGGCACAGATGCTCTGCTCGATGACGGTGTACTTCCTCTTGGAGTCCGCTCGCTCCTTCTCCAGCTCGTCTTGCTTCTCCACGTAGCTCGAGTCGAAGCTCACTTGCAGGCGGAGGGTCTCGAGAGAGGGGTCGTCCTCCTTGGCGAGCCTCCTCACGGAGAGGGAGACTAGCTCTTCGATGTCGTCTGCGCTCAGGTTCTTGTCCAGTTGGAACCTCTCTGGACTTTCTAAGATGATCGCCTTGGCCACGAAGGCAGCAAGCATCTCGTTCGCAAGGATCTTCTGCCGACGGCATCGATCCGTGATCTCGTATACAATCTTCTGTATCTCGTCCATCCCTGTTTTTCACCTCCACCTGGCACACCAACGTCAGTGGACGATAGATGCGATGCTGAAACCTTGATTCCAGACCACCTCCTGTCCTGTCCTGTCCTGTCCTGTCCTGTCCTGTCCTGTCCTGTCCTGTCCTGTCCTGTCCTGTCCTCTCCCCTCCCACACCCTTCCCCGCCCCTCCTCTCTCCTCTCCTTCCCTCCCCTTCCCTCCCCTTCCCTCCCCTCCATTCGTTCCCTCGCCTCCCACTGCATTTCAACGGCTGTGCGGGATCTGAGGTGGGCTTGACCATGTACCCCACCCCTGAAGGCATTTTATCATAAAACCAGGGGTCATTGCGACTTCGACCCTTCACCCGTCAGAAGTCGTTACGGAAACAGGGGTATAGCAAGTGTTTGGCACAAATTCCGAAAAATGAAGCCAGAGTTTCCATTATTTCAAATTTGCATGATAAATTTAAAATCTCCAGGATCCGTTTCATGTTAACTTCACCCTATTCGCTTTGTCCGGACCAGCTGACACGATGGAGGAGGACGAAGATGCGCGATGGGGTGAGGAAGAGGAGGACGAGGCGTCAGGAAGGGGCATGCAACACACACCCAGAGAGCTCAGGGGAGGAGGAGCTCCTTCCATGCGGCAGATAGCTGGTTGGGCTCTTGGGAAAGTCATGGGGAAGGGAGGGGGAGGGTATAGCGAAGAAGAGTCGCTGACAGCATGCCGGGCGGTATCAGAGGAGATCGGTCTCCGGGCAGGTTTCTTTGAGGTTGAGAATGGGAAGAAGGACAGGAGGAGGAAGAACGGGTTCGATCCTTGCTGCGTCCACGTGTTCTTCGGAGACCTGGACATCCTTGAGGCGATCGTGACTGGTGGTGAGCTGAGCGCTGGGGCGGCATCCAGGATGGAGAAGTACGGGTGGGATGCGCTGGATCGAGGGGAGGGAGGAGTTTCTCCTCTCCTTCGTGGCGACTTCTCGAGGCTGGTCAACGTGTCTGCCTACGAGAACGCTGCCCTCCCCAAGCAGTGCTCCGCCTGGGGGTTCTCTACGTCATGGAGCATATCCTTCGAGAACAGCTGGAGGCGCCTCATGAACAAGGCGCGAACTCTGCACTCCGAAGGTTCTCTGGTGGACTTCTGCTGGGGACCCGTCGGGGATCTCAAGCCTCATGCAGGGACGCCAGAGGAACTTCAGAGGAGGAGGGCAGACGGGGTGACGTTGAGTTCGATCCCGATAGACTTCGAGCCCGCCAGGCACGACGATCCGGGATCGAGAGATGGGTGGAGGATGAAGCTCGGTAGCTGCACGTCGGGAACCTGCTTCCGATCAGCCTCCCGGGAGAGATGTCCTCCTCAGCAGTCCTGGCGCTTCAACGCGATAGCGAACCTTTACTATTGCCCCGTGAAGCATGCCGGGAGGGTGGTGCTGAACATAGTTCGGCATGGCGTCGTCGGGTTCTCTCGAGAGCCCTCCGGTCACATCAACAAACATCTTGACCTCCTCGTTCGGTTCGTGTTGCAGCAGCAGTGCCTTGCGGGGCTTCCGAACCGAATTGTCTCCGTCAATCTGCTCAGCCACTATAAGGCGAGCGGCGAGCCGGACATGACGGACAGGCAGCTCCTGGCCTTCCAGGAGATCATCCGCAAGCTCAACGCAAAGCACCTCGGATCGGACGCGAAGGAGGAAGGCGGACTGCCCAAGGACCTCCCGATCGTCCAGTACGGTCAACTCCTCCTCCCGGCCAACACCGACCAGTGGGAGATGGGAGCCGACTACAACCGGAGGAAGAACGTGGACTGTGCCATCCTCTACTTGCAGTGGGTGTGTGATGATGCTGTGTATGCGATCCGGCGCCTGATGACCAAGTCCGGGTTTGCTGCGATCGGGCCGACGGGACCTGGAGGAATCCACCTAGCCAGCATCGTTGCTTCCTCGAAGCCTCACTGGGCTGCCTTGCAAAGGGAGTACACGCAAGTGATCCAGAAGGCACTGGTGTGCCCCGGCTGTGCGGACAAGGCAGCGATCACGGACTGCATCACGTGCGCTTGCCAGCCGTTGGACCAGTACTTCAAGAGTTTCCTCCTCATTCCAATCGTCAGCTCCAGCGACGACCAGGTATGGGAGACCCTCGTCGACTTCCTGCCTGAGTATCTCAAGAAGAGGATCGAGGCACACTGGCGCGGGCTGCGGGCTGAAGCAGATGCGGACGGGATCAACTCCCGCTCGATGGAGGTTGTCAAGCAGACGGTCTCGCTTGTCCGCAACATCCTGCAGATCCTCTCAACGACGGTCTGCCTGGTCTACCGCAGGCTCATCAATCTCTCCCCCAAGCGCCTCGTGTCGGAGTTGAGTCCTTCTCCCCAACAGAACCCTTGGGATGCGACCAAGTCTGACCAGTCCGAGTCCCCGGACGAGAAGAAGTTTTGCGCCCCAGCACCCCCCCAGCACGGGGAGAAGCAGGAGGAGGCGGTGGAGTCGGACATGGAAGATTCGTTTGAATCGCCTTCGATGAGCAGGTCGCTGCAGGAGGAGAGGATGAGGGAAGTGATGCAGGAGCACCTGCACGAGCTGGAGAGGGCGAGGGTCGCCATCAACTCGCTCCGTACGCTGGTGCAGGCCGAGCTGGGTTTCTGGGAGGGAGGGTACATGTCAGACTGCCGGGCGGAGGAGGGCGACCAGTCGCAGAAGAGAAGGTTCAGCCGGGTCACGTCCATGTCCGCCGCTGCGCTGCTCAACCAGGCGCTCGGGGTGATCGTTATGACCAACTGCAAGAGCGGGCTCGATCGCACTGGCCTGCTAGTTGGGATGCAGGGCTGCATCTCCTCCCTCTGGACACTCTACCCGCGGCAGCGGTGGGGGCTGCACCTTGCTGCCATCAACTCCCACCTGTTCCAGGCCCGCAACAGCAGCGGCGACGAGATCTTCGTGCAGCCCTCGACGTGGGACGAGTTCGGGAACGAGCAGGAGAAGTCGCTCTGGGTCAAGTCGATCTTCAGGGAGCGGACCATGGTGAGGAACCACCGGCTGCAGCAGTTGAACCTTCCCCAGCAGAACAGGGAGGCCAGCGATCGGGAGAGCTACAGCATCGCTCCCAAGTATCTGCAGAACGCTCCCCTGTCGGACGACTGCCTGCTGTTCGAGGAGTCGACGAGGATGCTCAAGGCTCTCTTCCCCCTCAAGTGCCTCATGAAGAATTTCATGATCAACTATCTCAGCGAGGCCAACGCTATCATCACCTTCGCCTCCACCGGCGTCAGGTCAGCCGTAGCTCCCTTCTCCCCCCTCCTTCCTCGCCTTCCCCTCCCTTCCCCCTCCCTCTACCTTTGCTTCCCCTGTGTGTTCCTCCTCTTCCCTCCCCTTCTTTCATCTCTGTCCTCATCTCATCTCCTCCCCTCCCCTTCCCTCCCTCTGCTTTCCCTCCCCTCCTTCGACCTCCTTCCCTCTCGTCCTCGTTCCCTACGTCGCTACAGCTGAGAGGCAAGGGCAGGGGCATGAAGTACGAAAGCCATCCTCTCCTCGGCGCGCTGATCCCGCGAGATGTCCGCGTGAGCAGCAAGGCGGCGAGCTCGAAATTCTCTTCCGAGCGAGACGCTCCATACCGCCTCTCCTCCCTCCACTCGAGGTGAGGAGGCGGAGAGGAAAGTAAAGTTAGAGGTGGAACAAGAGAAGGAAGGGAACAAAGTACAAGTACAAGGAGGAGGGAGGAGGGAGGAGGGAGCAAGGGAGGGGAGCTAGGTGCCGGGCTGAAAGTGGAGCAGGCAGTACCTCGGGCTGAAGAGCCTTGCCGGAGGCAAGCTGGCTCAAGACACTCTGACCGATCTCGGAAGGTAGGAAGAAGATGCTTGAATGCGGGTTGGGGGTGGAGGAGATGGTGGTGGTGGCAGAGGAGGAGGGGAGGAGGAGATGTGAAAGTGTCTGGCAGGCTTCTACTCGTGGATGCCTCGAGGTATCGGAGCAGCTGAAGGAGTTTCGGAGGACGCAAACATCATCTGCCCTCCTCCTGCTCCTATGTTTTGGTCTCATGTTCCCCCCTCAGTCCTGTTCCGCTCCCTCCGTCTCTCGTTCCTTGCCGCTGATCCCTCCCTCCCCCTCCCCCTTCCCATCCCCATCCCCATCCCTTTGGATCTGTGAAGCTGCTGTGAAGTGTAAAATGTTGTGACAAGACATCCTGGTCGATCCTGTCTCTTTTATCATTCTCTCCTCCTCCCCTTCACCCGTCGTGCCTCCTCCTCTCGCTGATCCTCACGAGATTCGCCAGTCGCTCGTCCACCCGCACCAGTCGCTTGCTCACCTGTCACCAATTCATCCCTTCCTCCTCCAGCGCCCTTCCCTCCCCCTCCTCCTCTCGCACTTCAACCCGCTTTCCTCTCTCTCCTGCACGATTCCCCCTCCCCCGCCCCGCACCTCTTCCTCTCTCTCTTCTCTTTCAAATCGCATCAACGCATCCTCACCCCTCCTCCTCCTCCTCCTCCTCCTCCTTCCTCCCTCCCTCCCTCCCTCCCTCCTCCACCTCTTCGATTTCTCGGATGAGCCGATTCCGAGCTGTTGTAGTCAGTCAAGGCCTTTCAACCAGCCATCCCGCACTCACCTTCCTCTTGCTCCCTCGTCCTCCTTGGCGACCTGTTCGCCGGCAGCACATACTCAGCCTCGCTCCCACAGAAACCAGGAGCATCTCACGCTGACTTGCGGGGGGCCATCGACGTCCCTGCCTCTTGTCCCGCTCCTGCAGCAGCTCCTCACTAGAGGTCAGCGCGACCTCCCGCACAGACCTCGGGGGTTCTCCTTGCACATGGCCGATGGTCGGCAGCTCCGTACTCCCCTCCGCAGCATCTCCATATCGTTGTAGAGCTCGCGGTACAGCAGCTCCCCCTGTCGGACCCTCTTCCACTCCCTCTTCAAGCTCAACCTCCTCGAGAGTCTCCCTCCTGCCCCCCCCACCGCTCCCCCCCCTGCCTCAGCCTTGATTCCCCTCCACCAGTGCTGTATAACTCGAGCAGCGGAGGTGAGGACGCGGAGCTTGAGGTGGTTGTTGTCCGCGCGGCTCATCATGAAATTCTCGTTGTTGTTAAGTCGGATCCCCTGGTTTGCCGTCGCCGTCACGAACGCGACTGCCACGGGCCCCATCCCCATCGCCATGCACACGGTGAACTTGCCGAAGTCCGTGATGACGACAGTGCCGTAGCCCACCTGCAGCACAAGCGTCCGCCACCCGTCACTTACTCTCCTCTCCTCCCTTCCCCGCACGCATGCCTACCGTGCAGAATGTCACGTAGATGATCCAGAGCTGATCCCACAGGTAGACGCTGTGCTCGGTGTAGGCTGGCCCCTCGGCCACGCGAGTCATGTAGCCGATGCTGAGGACGGTGATGCCGATGAAGATGCAGATCACAGCGATGGCTTGGCGCTTGATCAGAATCTTGACAGCGAGCAGAGAGACGGAGATCCAGCTGTTCTGAATCCACTCTACGATGGTGTAGTCACGTAAAATGTAGGCAACCTACAGTTGTTATAGTGAGCAACTGCAGACGTTTAAACATGGGCAGCACCTCAAGGTTGAAGTATCGGTACACGACCTGCACATGGCGCCGTCACTGGACGTAGCAAGGCTGTTTCCGTTACCTTCATGTGCATCCATTGAAAGATGTGGTAGAAGCGGACGAAGGTGGCTACTGCCAGGATGGAGTCGAGGCGATAGTAGATCACCGTCCCGTCCGATTTCACTGCCATATCGTAGTGCACGAAGGGAAGGTTGTGAACGAAGTTGATCAAGAGCTCCAAGGTCAGTCGGAGCCTTCTGATGATCTTCGGGGAGGAGGAGAATTCGTCCTTCCTAACAGTGGCGGTGGAGGTGGAGGTCTGCATCGAGGCGATCTTTTTCCGAAGGGAGTGCTGCACCAGCAGCAGGCCAAGGATCACAGCTGTGATCAGGCTCTGCAAGAGCTTTGCATCCTCCCCGAGCGGCTTCGTACACTTTCGAGGGTTTTGCGCCGTTTGCTCAAGAGCTATCTCCTCCGACAGGCTCGGCAAGTGTGGAATGTAGTCACCCTCGACGCAGAGCTCGTTGATGGCGACCGCTATTAGGATTGACACAAAGGCGAGCAGCGAAAGGATGCCTTGTCTTCGGTTCATCATGTTCTGAATGTCTCTGATCTTCCTGTGCCTGATAGTCTCTTCTAGCCATATGTGCCTGGCCTTGGACTGCATTGCAAGCATACATAAGCAGGCATACATTGCAAGCATACATAAGCAGGCATACATTGCAAGCATACATAAGCAGGCATACATCGCAAGCATACATGACAAGGTGGCAAGCATACATGAGCAGGCATACATGACAAGCATACATGAGAAGGCATACATTGCAAGCATACATGAGCAGGCATACATTGCAAGCATACATCAGCCCATCAAGTTCGTTGGAAGCGTCAATATCTCCTCACCTTGAACGAGTCTCTCGTGCTGCGCAGGCTCGTGTTTGTTGGTCGAATGTTGTTCTCAATGACCTTCGTCTTCGACCCTCGCAGGAGAGATTGGACCAAGGAGGGCGTAAACACGAGCTCAGCATGAACGTTCTTCATCCCTGAAAGAGAGGACAGGTCGGATGCTTGATCTTACTTCCGTCTATCTTGACGTATCATCATCTTCTGAAATCAAACATGGCATCAGTCAAGCTTGTACGGACAAGTGGGAGGGGATTTAAAAGCGTGCATCATCGAAAAGAGCATTGTTATGTTCGTCTAAAAGCGTGCATGATCGAAAAGAGCATTGTTATGTTCGTCCAAAGGCGTGCATGATCGAAAAGAGCATTGTTATGTCAGTCTTGTCGCTTCTAGTCGTCTCTTGTACCTGCCCTGCATCCTCAGTTCGGAGCTTTTGACATTCCGTTATCAGACCGTTACACATGGGTTGCATTCATAGTAGAGCCAACAAAGCGACACTTGTGCAGGGAATGGGCACCTAGGGGGTGGGGTAGTCCTTCACTACCGGTACTTCAAAGTATATTCCTTTAATGAGAGGAGTGGTGGGTGGGACTAGGAGGGGTGCAAGAAGTTGTCAAGCAAGCTTTGGGGGGCGATTGAGCTACGATGGCTGAGAGCGTAATGGCGGAAGGTAACGAAAATGAGAGAAGAAGGGGAGGGAAAGGGAGGGAAAGGGAGGGAAAGGGGAGGGAGGGGAGGAGGAGATAGTTAGATTGATCGTTTCTGGTAGGCCGAAAGTTTGGAAGATGGTTCTGGATTAAGAACGAGACTCATGGTCAGTGAGAAAGTTTCCTTCGATTCCTCCGTTGTTCTGAAGCAGAGATGAAACTCCCAGGATTCTTTGAAAATGCGTACAAGACCAAATGCTACTGTTGGATCGAGAATGGATGTATGTTTGCCTCAGTTGAGAAAGAGAAGGCAAGCACCTTGCAGACAGTCTTTGCAAGGCACGTGATTGAGACGAATGCTTCTCAGTCGTCCAGCGGCAAGAACGGGTTCCTCACGTTCCAGCTTGACAAATGGAAGGTGCCACCTTGATCTCGTCCTGTGAGAGAACCCTCTGAGTGAGTTTGGTGGTGGCTCAGGCCAGCTGCTACGACAAGGTCAAATTCGAGCTGCGCAGCATTTCCGAGGGGCGGGCAGTCAGGTTCAAAGCGCAAAGTCCCGAGGACTGTCAGAAGTGGGTGACGATGTTGATGAAAGTTGGCATCTTCAAGGTGACGGCATGACTTGCTGCAAACATCTCGAGTCACCCTTCGCAGTCGCCTGAAGTCTTCGGGAGCATCAAGTATGAGACAAGACCGATGGTGAAACTCGACCTCCTCCTTCGTTTTCTCAACCTTCCTTCCTGTCTCCTCGCATCCTTCCCCTCCTCCGACTCTGTACATCTCTGTGCATCTCTCCCTCGTGCTCCCTGATCCTGTATCCTACCCCCTCGTTGTCTCCACTTTCTCCTTCCCCCCCCCCCCCCATCTCTATATACCTCTCTCCCCTCCTTAAAAGTGTATGTCAAGAGACATCCCACTGATGCAGTGAGAGCAGGAGGAGGAGGACGCCTTTCAGCTCGTTGAGACCGATGGCATGCACTTCAAGACCCTCGAAGTCAGGTTCAAGTTCGACAGAAAAATCATGCTCGCAGCTGTGAGGCAAAACGGACTCGCCCTGCAGTTTGGGAAGTTCTCAGTGCCCGAAGGAAACATCGTGGACTACACGGTAGACCGGGAGGTCGTGCTGCAAGCGATCAGGCAGAACTGCTCGGCCTTCTCGTTCGCGGATGTCTCGCTGCAGGTTGACAGGAGCGTTGTCCTCGCCATGTTCGACACAGACATCGCCGACGTGATGATGCTGCTGCGCAACGGCATTTCACCGCTCATGCTGGATGAGGAGGTCATGCTCAAGGCGGGGGAGAGAGACGCGCATGCGGTGGAACGCGCGAGGAAGAACTTGTACATCTGTCCCAACGTCAAGGAAGAGAGCCTGTCACCAAAGGAGCTGAAGGACCTTCAAGCTCAGGTTAGGAGAGGCACTTGTTCGATGTGCCGGGTTGATGTCGTTCTATCCTCTTGTCGCTATCCTCTGTTGCATGCTGGTCCGCGTCCTCCTGTCCTCCTACTTGTTCTGCCTTATTCTCCTCCCAGGCTCTTCTCACCAGGCTGACTGAGAACGGCGACCTCGTGTCGTTGAAGAGGTTGCTGGCGATGCAAGTTGACATCAACACATGTCCCTATGTAAGTATTCTCCCTGCTCCTCGGGCCCCTCTCTGCCTCCTCTGTCCTGTCATTCTCTCCAATTCCTCCCACTTTCTGCTCTACATGCACATCCTGGTATCTTTGTCTCTAGTCCTTCTTTCACTCCCAACGTTCGCTTCCTTCTCCTTCCTCCCTCTCCTATGCTGCACTCAGGACGCTTGTTGATCCTGCGCTTTCCACTGATCCTTGTCTGCCACCATCTTCCTTACGTTCACTAGATCGGCTACTCTGCCATGCACGCGGCCGCTGAGTCAGGGAGAGTGGGGCTGGTGCACTTCTTGCACGAGCAAAAAGCTTCAGTTGAGAGTCAGATGACGGTGAGAGAAGTTTTCGTGCAGATCGTACTTGCTCTCTTTCTCTTCCTCCTGACCTTCTGCTCAGGGAGGTACCACTCCTCTTATGCTAGCCGCAATGGGTAAAGTCCTCGTCCTCGTCCTCGTCCTCGTCCTCGTCCTCGTCCTCGTCCTCGTCCTATTTCTACTTGTTTCTGTTTTTGCCTCGTCGTCGCCCCCCGGCGACTCTCTGCCTCAAACTTTCGTCAGGTGGCAAGTCGGAATGCATCAAGCTCCTGAGCGAGCTCGGAGCAGATGTGAATGCAAGGAATGAGGTGAGCGATGATGATGATGGCGGAGACAATGATAATTGAGACGATGATGGAGATTGTGATAATTGAGACGATGATGGAGATTGTGATCGTTGTAGTGGTGATCATCTGGAGTTGATCGAGTTGTCGTCAGGGTGGGACAACGGCATTGATGCTCGCAGCCATGGAGGGTAAGAACAATCAAGGGATCATGGAGGGTGGACGGGAATGTTAGAGTTGTCAGCATGGGGGACAAGGAGGACATGTTGCTGCGGATGCGGCGGCTGGTCGTAAAAGACATCATTGCAGGACACACGCAAACGATTGCAAGTTTGGCTCAGTTGGGAGCAGACATCGATGCTGTAGAGAACGAGCTGATCCTTGAGGTCCCTTTAGTCCTCGTCCTCGTCCTCGCGTTCTTGTCCTCGGGTCTACTCCCTTTCTGCTCCTCTTCCCCGTCCTTTTCCTCTTTATTCCCTTCCTGAAGAGATTTACCGATTGGATCGCAGGAGGAGCACGTAAGTGAGAAGCTGAAGATTTTAGAAACGTCAGCACAGGAACCAGTACGTCCCCATCCTCCCTCCTCTGTCAGGACTTGACGACGAGCGTCAGGTCCTTGCCAGCAAGCTGCCAAGAGACGGCGCAGACACGGACAAGAGCATGGCGCTGGTTTCATCCTCACAGCAGCAGCAGCAGCTGGTGAAGGAGGAGGGAAATACCCAGGTCACTTGCTGCTCCTTTGCTGCTCCCTCTCCTCCACTCCTCCTCCACTCGTGATCCACTCCTCCTCCTGGTGCTTCTCCTTCTTCACCCCCACGGTTCATTGCTGCAGTTTCTGACCAGCTCAATTCCAGACCTTGTCCTCGGCATTTGCATCGACATTCACGGGGAGGATGATCAGTGACATCAAGAACAGTCTTGCACTCACTTCTTTGGTGATGATGATGAAAGAGTGTATTTGATTGTGCGATTTTGTGTGTATTTTGTTTCATGATGATAATGATGGCAACCATGATCCTGAGAAGAGGATGTTGAGAATGCCAACCAACATGACGATGATAGAGATGATTCGCAGGACAAAAATTTCTTCTCTCGTGTCAGAGCCTTGTTAAACTTGTCCATGTTTAGTTGCACAGGAGCAACGTAAGGCGCTGATGACGTTCACCGCAGGGATCTCTACGTGCTGTCGTCGGGTCAGATTTCGCTGCTCACCTCGATCGGATTCTCGGATTTGTTGCCCTCCCGCGGGAGATGGCAGAGTTTGTAAGCGATCTTTCCTCCTTTCTCCGCTCCTCCTGCCTCTCCATCTCCAGCTCATCCGTCTCTGCCTCAAGAACCCCGCCCCCCTGCCCTCTTTCCTTCCCCGTCCCCTCTCAAAAGCCTTCTGCTTTCTGCCTCCTTCCTCACTCGCTCGCTGCCTGTCGCCTCCGTTGCTTCCCCCTTCACTAACTTCAATCCAGCGTAATCACACCGGGGGCATGAACGCTATCATGAAGGCAGCCGCCAGCGGTCACACGCAGGCGGTACAAGCTCTCGTCGAGCTCGGAGCCAACGTGAACGCAGTCAGCAAGGTGCTAGAGGAGCTGCATGAGCTACTCTCTTCCTCCTCCTCCACTCACTGTGAAGAATCCTATTTACCCCCTCCTCCACTCTCACTCTGCCTCCTTCCTCCGCCCGAAGGCGCTTCCCTGATGTCGTTCCTCTCCCCCCTCCTCTTTCTGAGTTTGGAAATCGTTTTTAATTTGGCGACAGGGTGGAATGTCTGCCCTCATGATAGCTGCCATGGGCGGGCACAAGCAGACTGTCAAGTACCTGTGCCATGTCATCGACGACGTCGACAGTCTCGACAAGGTCAGTGCTCCTCGTGGCTGCAGCGATGACTGACCCGCCCGGACAGGAGGGGCACAACGCTGTCCAGTGGGCAGAGAGGACGGGGAACTGGGAGACAGCGAGGATGATCAAGGAGGCAGCGAGAGAGAAGAAGCTCCTCCAGCAAGCTAGTGAGCTGTGCGTGGGATGCTGATGGCTCTGACTGACTCTCTCTTCCTCCAGCTTACGAGGAGCTCGAGCCCTCCAGCGAGTTTCACATGGACAACAATGGACAGGACGAGACGGAGGACTCGTCTCCTGCTGCTGGCAGCCGAGCCAGGACGAGAGCAGATGCTGGTGACATCGTAGGAGCAGCGGACAGCGAGGACGGGCACCATGGCACGATAGAAGAGTTTCTTGAGCCTCTAGCTGATCTTCAGGTGGAGGAGGAGGTCAACGAGGATGCTGATGCGGAATCTGAGGAGCCTACAATACAAGTTTGACCTCGAACCCTTTCATCCCCTCGTCCCCCCCTCCTCTCCCCTCCTCTCCACTATCCTCCCCTTCCCCCTTTCCCTCTTCTCCCCTCATCAGAGTTTCGTGAGCTAAGTACAGTCACAAAATCTTCATTCATGTGTCAACAAGCGCCTTGGGAGCTCTGGGGGTTCCCCCCACCTCATCACCAACCTCGGCCTCGCTTACTTGGGCACGTTGACAATCAAAGGGCCAACGTTGTCCCCAGTCTCCTGGTTGTGCTTGTTGTGCGCACCATCGCATCTGACATGGAGGGTAAGCAGAGGCAGCGGCAGGAACACATTTAAAGGTCCTTACTTGGGGAAAGTCGCGGATTTCCAGCACCTGCAATAGACCACCTTCTGGCCAGGCTCAATGGTATCCTGTGGATAATAGGAGGATCAGATGGCAGGACAATGAACGTGGGGGTGGGAGGAGGAGGAGGAGGAGGAGGAGGAGGAGGAGGAGGAGGAGGAGGAATATCCAAGATTGCAAAGAGGAGAGTAGAAATCCGAAAACGGCAGTAGCGACACAATGAGGAGGAGTTGGATACAGAGAGGAAGAGATCCTGATCCGCAGGGTGTACAAAGAGCTCGATGAAGACAGAAGGAGGGAAAGAAATGCAGAGAAATAGATAGAAAAAGGAGGGAGAAGAATCCGATGATATGGAAGGATCAGGGATATTGTTTTCACGAGGAGATCATCACCGTGGTGGCGACTTTGGGGTTGTCGAGCTCGATCTTGTGGTTGATCTTGCCCGACATCTTGACGGAGGTAGCGGCAGCAGAAGCAAAGGCTCTGGAGGAGCGAACAGGGAGGCTGGAGAGGGAGGAGAGAGCGGGAGGAGCGAACGCAGAGGCGCAGGAAGCGGCGGCAGTGAGCATGAAGACGCGGTTGAGCATAGTGGAGGATTGAACAGCCCCCACCCCAACTCTGCTTTTATTTACTCAACCCGTGGAAAAACAAGGAGGCTTGCATTGAAATTTCTTTCCAAATATTCAAATATAGAGACAGTACAATCAGTCAAATTTCAAAAATACGATCTCAATCATGGTTGCGTCAGGGTGGGGGTCATCGGCCGCAAGTATTATAGAACCCGAGGTCCGTCGAGTACCTACCCAAGTCAGAGGTATTTCTAGGAGTTGAAGGGGGTACTTGATACTGACACATAAGAGAGAGTTGGGGCAAGGGGTAGAGGTAGGTCACAGCTCAAGTACCCGGTACCTAGTCATCCCCCCGCCGGCCTCCCGGGCCGGAGTCCGGCGGCTCGCCGGCGCCGGACTCTGACCGAGTCCAGCGGGGGCCGCGTGGCCCGACCGGGTTTGCCACCGGGTGTCAGGCCCCCGTCAAGCGGCCCGGCCCGGCCCTGAGTGCTAGTGAAGCCATAGCGACATCCGCTGAGGCCGATGATGTGCCGCAGCCTCCCATAGGGAAGAAAACTGATCGCAAAAACCGTTGAACAGAGAGCAAATTAAAAAAGCAAGAGAGTCGGAGAGCAAAAGAAGAGCTCGTTCACGGCAGTGAGTCAGACGACTGTGGTGGAGGAGAGAACCTCCTGCCTTCATCTCATCGCTCTTGGACAACCCGGGTATCGATCCCGGTGCCTCTCGCATGCTAAGCGAGCGCTCTACCATCTGAGCTAGTCGCCCGTGGAGGATAAGGTCGAATCACTGTTCATATAGGGAAGGGGTGGTCCTTGCTCCTGGTGGTGGTCCTTTCGCTGGTGGTTCTGGTGGGGTAGTTTTGAGTGATTTGTGGGGGTAGAGGTGGTCTTTGAGGATGTAGGGGGTAGGGGTAGTACAGTAGTGAAGGAATGGTTTCATGGCGATGGACTTGTGGTGGAGGGCAAGTGGAAGAGGAGAGAAGCAAAGAGCACTGTTGACACAAGTATTCCAACATCCCCACGATCTTCTACCCCTCCTCCTCTCACTCCTCCTCTCCCCAATCCCTCTCCTTCTCTTGCTGCCTCCCCTCACTTGGTCAGTTCTTCGGTTTCTTCTTGCTGTAGAACTTCTCGAAGTCCTTGTGGCGAGGCCCTGCGGGCTGAGCAAGGGGTTCAGTTGAATCAACTCCCTCTCCCTGCTCTGCTCACCCTCTGTCTCTCATACTCTCCATACACCAGACTCTTGCCGCCGCTCAGGCCGCTCATGCTCCCAGAGACTCGTTTCACCTTGCACGCAACGTCAACATGGCTTTGGAGGAGGTACATGCAAGCTCAGGGCTCACCGATCCTGTTCCGTAGGCTCCAGCAGACTGGAGAGCAGCCTGTACGCGTTCCTTGGCTTCTTTCCCTGCCAACTGAGTAAGAGGAGAGCGGAAACCAAGAGCGAAGTGTTACTGTCTTCGATGGCGAGCTGCAGCAGATCCTTCTCAAGCTCTGTACCGCCATACTTGCCTGCATGGCGCATCAACAGCGGGGGGGGAGGCAGCAAGGAGCGACCTGCGCCCTTGTTCATGGTGAAGATGTCCAGTCCGCGATGGTCCTCGAGCTGTGTGACAACCTTGAACGCGTAGCCCTGCATGCGCGTCAGGAGGATGAGGAAGGGCTCTGTTCTCACCTGATCCACTAGATATCTCTGTCGCTTCGTCGAGTAGTACATCTCCTGCGTGTCCTGCGATGGTTGAGGGGCGCGGGGAGGAGGGCACGAGTTCACCTTGGATACGAGGGTATAGAAATGCGCGTTGTATCGGGCATTGGAACTGTAGGCCGTCAGAGACGGGAATGCCTTCCGTCCTGCCTCGTGTTACCCGGGTTTGGGGCGGAGGATGCGGCCAAGTCGTTGAGCTTCCTTCTGCCTTGACCCGAAGTTGGAAGAGATCTGCTCGCAAGGGAGGGTGAGCAGCGCGAGCTCGTTGCTGGGACTCTCCCACCTGGATGATGACGGAGGCGTCGGGGAGATCGATGGCGGCATCTCCGACGGACGACCTTGCATGCATCTCAGCGTCTTGATGTGACCAGGGAGCCTTCTTACATGAACAGCGTCTTGACCTCGGAGCTCGCGTCACGAAACTTGCTCAGGACCTTGCAACGCATGGGTCAGGATGGCAGGGCGAGAGGCTACCATGGTCCAATCACCTCCTCCCTCGTCGCTGCATCGTCATCTCCGGTCATGCAACGACGATTCATCCGATCGCTGTGGAAGGCGATGAGACAAGTAGCAGCAGCGCCAAGGAAGGCAACCTGTAGGCAACGATGGGACGAAGGTCGTCGGAGAACACAATGATCTTGTGCCCAGCCTCCTCCCAAAAATGAATCTGGTCCACCAACCATCACCTCAGAACAAGCAGCATCGCAAGTTTCTCACAAGAAATTCCACGGCAGCAAGTTTGTTTGGATTCATGATCCATAGATCCTTTCTCTGTGAACATCCTCAGTTGTCAACAAGAAGGTTGATCGATTCCTTCTGAACCTGCCGGGCTGTGGATTCAAGGTACGTTCGCATGAAGAGAGGTGTCATCGGGCACCAAACCTCCACACATTGAACTCTTTAGCTCATGTTAGGAGCAGGGAGAACCCGAAGAAAAACAGCTGACCTTGCAAGATATCCTTGGTTTGAGAGATCCTGCCAGTCTGCCTGTAGGAAAAGAATCAACAGGGTCTTGGAAGTACGACAGTGAACAAGCAACCTCATAGAGCTTCGGCCCTATCAGATTCTTGAGCTCTTTGATCTTGTCGTCTTCACGGACGAGCGTCGCCGTCAGTCCAAGCTTGCAGTGGGCATTCACTACGTTGAGAACTTGCCAGAACTTCTCAGCAAAACTCAGGTGAACCTCGTCCAGCACTATGATCCCCCACTGCCGCTTCTTGATCTCTTCGATCAGCGCCTCACCCGCCTTCGATCTCTTCTTGTCCAACGTGATCATAGGATAGGTTGTGATAAGGAGTTTCCCAAGAGGCTTGTTCTGCCAGTCTCCTCCTTTGCTCAGAAAGCAAGTAACGTCTGACTCCTTCACGTTGGTCCAGGTGCTGGTGAACTGCTGCTTCCACTGCGTCACCGCCATGGACGTATTGCAGATCACAGCAGCGCACTTCTTGATATTCGCAACAGCTGAGATCCCAACCAGCGTCTTGCCTGCACCACAGGGGAGGACGATGAAACCCGAACGAGCTCTGCCGTGCGAGAACATCTTGGAAAGGGATTTCTCTTGGTAGGAGCGAATGAAAGTCCCTGGCCGGGCCTCGATCTTGAGGTCCGGAGTGACCCTGTCGTTTGCGAAGTCATACTCCTCGAGCACGGGCAGGTTGATCTCAAGGCACTGCTTCTTCACATCAAGGTGCATGCTCCGACGGATCTCGATCTGCCACATCTGAGACCTCGGCACGTCGTTCCCACGGACGTCAGCCCCGCTGTCATCTTCACCGATCTCGATGAGATCTTCCAGTGCAGCCACCTCGTCCTTCCTTGCCTCGTCCTTCTTCGCCCCTTTGTCGTCATTCAGCGCCCCCATGGACGGCTCACCCTTGCCCAACACGTTCATGCCCTCTGGCAGGGAAGGCATGTCGGTGTCGTTGAGGATGCCTTGACCTTCCCTTCCAGTCATTGCGCTCTTGATGACATCGTCTCCTCTCAGCCGCTCATAGATTGCCTTGGAAGGAGTCTCCAGGAAGAAGCGGTCATCCACTATCACCTGGTACACCCTGTCACTCGCATGCTACACAATACAGGGAGCGTCCCAACCATCTTCACTTTTCCGTACACAGCTGTGCAGTTGCGGATGAAGTTCTCAATGGATGTCGGCACTCGCGTCTTGCACAGCATGCTGAGCCGAGAGATGATGGTCTCAGAGTCCAACCCGATGGAGACCGCAGCGTGCAGGGAGTGCTGTTATGCAACAAAGTGAGCCCAGGACATGTAAGAGGAAGATGCAAGTCGTTGCAAGGACACGAAGGGCACTTGCCTGTGTCATCTCATACTCATTGATGTATTCGCACCTACTGACCGGCTCCGCAATAGCGATCATGAAGTCTTCAGCGTACTTGAAGAAGGGAGAGAATCGTTCAAGGAAGCAGTGTTTGTTCCTCCCCACACACAAGGGCCGTGTTGAATGGTCTCCTTTCAGTTGTAGATCGCTCCAGTCTTTCTCTTCCTCTTCTTCATCCTCGTCTTCCGAGTCGCCAACCTCGCTCTGTGCTTCCTCCTCCTCCGACTTCTGCTTCTCCGATGGGGGCAGAATTTTCAGTTTGATCCTCCCGCTGCTCTCCTTCTCTCCTCCTCCTCCCCCTCCTCCTGAAGTGACTCTTGAATCCTCACTATCGGCTCTCTCTCCTCCTCCGTCTCCTCCCTCGTCTCCTCCCTCCCTCCTCCTCTTCTCAGGCCCTCCTCCCATGGACGCCCAACAGAGAACAGGGATCCTCATCCCCGCTCAACCCCGCACTATCTGCCTCAGTGCCGGCCTACTGACCGGCCGGGCCCAGTACCGGGCCAAAGAGTACGCTGTCAGTACCCTTGGGAGTTGAAGGAACAGAACAAAGGGGGGTGGGGTAGGGAAATTCGGAGCTGTATACGTGGGGTACAAAGTAGCACATTTGGGGGTGAAGGCGAATATAGGGGGGGTACTTTGACGGAGGTCAGCGGCCTCTGGTTTCTATAAGGACCCCTCCCGTCATGCACCCATAAATTTTCTATCCAACCGGTTATATTTACTGTAATGATACCCGTACTCAGATAACCCCCACCTCCCTGCAAACACTGGCACCCTCACATATAAATCGTGTCGAGATTCCCCCGGTCCATGCCGAGGAGAAGCAGGGAGTGGGAGGGAAAGGAATGAGGGGAGGGCAGGAAAGCACAAGACAGATCGACTGGTGACTATCTCGATGATAGAATGGCTCGGAGGGACAAAGAACGATGTTGAGTTGAGACTCATGTTGTGCAGGTAGAACACACACAATCAGAAACGAATGGGAAGACTCATGCGTAGGTAGGGAAATTGAGAGTAGGCTGCATCCCGACCAATGCAGAGCAAAGCGTTCAAGTTTTGAGGCACAGATTCAAGCTGCTTTTGTTGGGAAAGAGAACCCAAGAGGCATGGAAAGGGGAACGCAACGAGAAATAGTGGGATCTTTGTGTTTGCGGGCAAGAGAAAACGATTTATTGAGGGGTTCATTATTTCTTGTACACCTCCAATACTAGAATGTGTGCAAGACTCAGGCAAAAGAGAAGCTTTCATGGAGCCATCTTTCAAATGGAAGAAGTAGAAACAGAAATAAGAGTAGATGGAGAACGGGGAGTTAGGTCTAAAAGCTCATTGCGTATATCATCGGCACGCTAAGACCCTTGGTTCTCGGCCCCTTTGCTAACTCGTTTGTGTGAAGATGATGCAGAAGGCTTTGTTTGGACTTCTCTTGCTCTACGTGAGCGGCGCATCCGCTTTCGCTCCTTCCATGTCGCTTCCTCGCAAGCTTCCCCTCAGCAGATCCCACGTCCAGAGCAAGCAGTCCACCGTCTGCAGCATGGATCGCTCTCAGTTCGCCAATGCTGCTGTATCTTCTGCTCTCATTGCATCCATTGCCTTGTTCTCCCCTGCTATCGCTCCTGTCGACGCTGCAGTAGCTCCCAACCCCTATGCTAAGGTGGCATTACTTCACTTTTGTTGATGTATCTCTCATGCCCATCACAGGATCAGCCTACCGAGGTTAAGACTGAGACCAAGAAGAGCGAAGGAGGAAACGCTGGTCTGGTCGCTATCCCCCTTCTTGCAGGCTTGGCCCTTTCCTACCCTTTCTTTTCCCGTAGCACGGAGAGACTCGTCGAGAAGGCGCAGGGCAAGAGGAAGTAAACGAGCCTCCTGAGGTTCTGCTCTGGAACATCCTCACGATCTGATATACTCCATTCGCCGAAAGATTTTGGATATGACTTTCGTAGTTTGGTTCATAGCAAATAAAACAATACAATATCAAAGACTAAGGAAGCTAGCTTCCATCCAGCTTTCTCACGCAATAGATATTTGTGATCTTGTGCTCCGCTGATCAAGGCATTCCTCTCCACACGTACACAATATCATGATGGCCTTGCCCGTTAAATTTGGAGGAGGCGCAACGAGTGTAGGCACCCATATCAGGAAACCAGATCCAGTCACCCACATTCAGTTCTGGGAGTCTCGTGCAAGGCAGCACAACATCGATACTGTCACACGTGGGGCCGAACAGCTTCGTAGGTACAATGCGCACCGGATCGACGGGATCAAAGAGAACATGCGGAACCACGACTGCGTGATCGAATACCACACAGTTGAAGGATCCGTAGCAGCCATCATTGATATACAGCGCAACCTCGGGAGCATTGTCCTCACCGACTGCCTCTGACTTCTTGAATACTAGGATGTCTTGACCATCGTTCTCCTTGCCGGGTCTGGCCCCAAAAGACTCAATCTCAGCAGTATCTGCAAGCTGTGACTCGCTAAGCTGTCTCTTGGCAATGACAGCAACTGCGTAGGTATGGCTGGCACAAACCATGTACCTGCCAGGCTCTGCAATGATCTGAACTCCTGAAGATGGAGGAAAGAAGTGATCCAAAGCGTCGGACAAAGTCAATGCAACATCTCGGAACGAAAATTCACCATCGTCTGTCCCAGGGAATCCTCCACCGCAATCGAGAAGAACTGGATTGAATCCATAGCTAGAGGCGAGATCGAAAGCTTCCCTGGCAGATTCCACGGCATCCGCGAACGGTTTGAGATCCCCACAGCCCGATCCCACGTGAAAGCTGAAGCCAACCACATTGATTCCCAAGGCCTTGCTCGTTTGCAGGAGCGCGTCCCACTCGTGCTTCGGGGCTCCAAATTTGGAGTTGAAGCGACAGACGGATTTCGAGTCATCGACAGCGATCCGGATCACAATTTCTGCATCGGGGAAGATGTCAGCAATCTTGTAAAGCTCCTCAATGTTGTCTGCAGTCATCTTCTTCACACCGGACCTCTTCGCAAAGCTAATCATACTTGCTTGCTTGCAAGGATTTGCATATATAATCCTGGAAGGCTCCACACCAAGTTCCAAAGCAGCCTTGATTTCAGCCTTACTGGCGCAGTCGAAGCCACAACCAGCAAGGGCCAGCATTCGGGCAATGTATGCGTCGTTGTTACATTTCACGGCGTAGAATGGCTTTACTCTTGGAAGAAGCACTTTCCATTGGTTGAGTTTTGCAAGGACAGTCGTAAGATCGACGACGTAGAATGGATCTTGATCGGTGAGCTCAGTGGAAATGTCAGCAAGCAGCTTGCTCATTTCCATCGTTGCATCGATCTTGCGAACACACTCGTCATCTAGGATGGATTCCACTCCTTTGTTCTCCATGAAGACTTCAGGGCCCCATTTGTCGCAGTCCGGCTGGTCCGGACAAACTCCCTTTTCATCTGCAGAAATAGATGCCAGTGCATTCTTCTGGTCGATAACATCACTGTTGTTGCTGGTGATGCCTGCAAGGTCTGCATGAATCCTGTCAGGGAGGACGGCCGGGATACAAGGAGCTTCCATAGCGCTTAAGTGAAAGGGAACAGAACGAGGGTCTGATCTTTGAACTTGATTCTCTTTGGCCTCAGGCAGCTAGCACAATGCAGGCTGGCTACGAAAGGCAGGAGGGATTCTCTCAACTAAGGGAGAGCAGAAAGGCAGCTAGCGGAAGGAGAAGCGAGAGGAGAGGCGGAGGACGGGAAGTCAGAGGACGCTGGATGGAAATCGAAGTTTGATGAGGCGCGTGCCTACAATGTTGTTGGATGGAGGGGGTACATCCTAAGGGGGTGGTGGTCCGTCATGACCCCAATAGTACCGGGTACATTTCCACTTCCATCTACTGGCGCGATGTAGGCTGGGGTACCGTGGGGAAGAAACGATGGTGGGGTGCTAAATTACGAGGTTGGGGTTGGGTCCTGTAGCAAGTGGGGTGGGTTTTCCAAGATCCGCACGAGACTCGCTTAAACAAATATAGACACAGAAGCGGGGGTAGGGTTATCAAGGAAGGGTTATCGATTGAATTCAATCATATTGGACCGGTATTTTGAGCTTTCGAATCAGTTAAAAAGGGGGTAGGGTTTTTGGTTTTCATTCGCTAGGGTGGGTAGGGAGCTTTTTTCAGGGGTGCGCTGGAGATGTGATGCCAGGGTACCGGATCCTGTATTTGCAAGGTCAGGGTAGCTACATGGCTCGAATTTTCTATTACCAAAGTCAGAAAATCGACATTCCTTGAGAGCCCTCAGAGTACAAGGGCCTGGTATAACCGACGTATGTGTCTGGTGATGGAATCCTGACCACCGTATGAGTTTCCCAGAATTACAGCTCGAATGCTCAGGTGGGGTGGTATACCACTCGCTATCCTCGTTCTGCACCCCACAAAACCCATTGCTGGATGCAATCTCGGGGTCTGTCCTAGTTGATAATTAGGGGGTGGGGTAGTTTTGAGAACCCAAAACCTGGGGGGTCCTCCCAGGCCTTGCCAGAAAGAATAGATTTAGCTGGACATAGTAAATCAAAAGAATCAGCTAATATGATAAAGTACCACCCCCCTATCTACCAGACTCTTTTGCTTTCTTATTACCCCAGCTAGAATGTTATCCACCCCCTAGAATCCAGTCACCTACCCGTACCATTTGAGGATACCCACCCACCTCACCAACAACGTACTGAGGGGCCAGAGTGTGAAATCTATTTCCGTTCACCATGTTCGCTCTTGTTCGCAACGTCGAGTCTCTCAAGGCTGTCAGGTAAGACGACGGGAAGAGGAGAAACTTGCACTCTGCCTTGTACCTCTTGGTTACCAGATGCTCATTCAACTTATTCCTTCTTGCTTCATTACCCCCCCCCCCCCCCCCCCCCACACACACACACCATCTCTCCCCCTTAGTTGATAAGCTTTCCTGTGCATTGCCACGGCCCTGTGCTTGTTGCACAACTCTGTATAGTAGTGTGTGTATTTTTTTTCGTATGGAGGTATCAACCCACTGCTTTCACGTCATTCTTCACCCCTTGAAGCCATCTGTGCTTCAATGTGCAAAAATGCAACACAGCTTTAGGACTGGAACATTCTACCTGCGTCGAATACCATCTTCTTGTACCCGCTACTTGATCCCTTTCATGAATATGTGTCGCATGCTATGCATAAGGCATTGTTTCCACATACTAAACCATCTCGAACCAAGGCATAGAATCGAGCCCATTTCTGAATAATGATGTTTGGTCGTTGTGCAGCTATGTCGAGGCCTACGGTGCCGGCCAGTTCGATGGCCAGAGCTCTGGACACGACTTCTACGGGGTATAGTTGACCGCTCCGTTGAAATGCGCCTGACTCGACTTTCAGACCCTCTGGCTTCCCCCAACTGGATGGGTGAACAACTGTGATGGCGGCCGCTCCCACTCGTATTGTGACTACCGCCAGCAATAAGCTTGCACGACCAAATCCTTTGCGGTGGAGGGTACACAACATTCTAGCATATCTTTGACTTGAACATCTACGAGAACCTCAAACTTTGTTTCCTTTTTACGGCCCATACACCACAGTGGAACTGAGACTGACTACCACTTATTTTCCCATTAACGAGTGTCACGCAAATGCTACAGACTGCTTCTGGTATCGTCTGGATGACATGCGAACGCAGCAAATGGTCAAAATCTGTGAATTTATGTAGAATGTTTGCGGCGCCGCTGCAGCGGCAGACGGACAACTAATCAACTTGCGACGTATCTGGCAATGAGCGGAGCCTGTGACGGAATACAAGTTTGTTAGACTTGTACTAGTCCAAAGTCACGCAGACGTCACATCGACCTTAGTTGTAACAAGACAGTTTTTGCTCAAGACCGAGTTTAATGCACACAAAACCAGAATTGAGGAGCACATGAGAGATTAGGATGTGAAACCCAAGCATCCAGACATGAGAGGACCTTAGCAAGACGGCTAGGAAAGCCCCCCTCTTCGTCCCACACGCTACATGTCCGCCTTGCCACGTAAGTCGTCTTGGTTTACAGGAGAGTTTTTGTTAACATGGCGCTATCTGACTGGCACGGCTGGCATACGTTCCATCCTCCCCCCGAGTTTCTGAAATAGTACGTTACATCGGACGTCAGAAAGTCACGCAAACAAGAATGTCAGCAGATCCAAGTCAAGATACGACGATACATCGTCAAGTTCACAGTCATGCTGAGTGGGCAATAACCATTCAAGGATTGTCCATTCTGAAGAAGATTTTCATGCAGAGCTATTAGATGTGCAGTAAAGAGATAAGGAAGATGCATAGCGAGCGGGTGCAATGAAGAGCGATAGAGTATAGGATAAGAGAGTCTGAAGAGAGAGAAGATAAGAGAGAGAGAGAGAGAGAGAGAGAGAGAGAGAGCGTGCCCGCCGGCATTTGAAGACCAAAAGATAAATTTTTTGAACCGTAAAGAACTTGTGACCAGAGATTGCTGCCGCGAGATTGGAACATCCGTTTCAAGGCATCTGAAGATTGTTGTGCAGTAGTACCTTGTTCGCCGATCCAGAAGTAGCTCCAGTTATGCATGCCACAGCCTAGCTCCATGACATGAAACTTCCGCCAGATCTCCTGGTAGTTCCATTTGATCCTACTCAAAGATCAAGAAGATTAAAATCGAATAAGCTTCAAGTGCGTTTCCACACGGTTAAGCAGATATTCGACCGACCAATCTGGCTGGGGAAGGCTTGTTTTTCCAATTCGAAGATCAATCAAACAAATTGAGGCTGAAATGAGAGGCCTAAACAACTTGCGGCTAGAGAGAGAGCCTGATTGAAGAGAGGAGTCATCCGAATTTGTAAGGCTTGAATTGCATGAATTTTCGACAGTAACGAAACGATACCAAGAAAGAAAAAACTCCAGTAAACAATTCAACTAACCAAATATAAGATCAACATGATTGAGCATGTAATCGGGGCCCATAACCGACGGAATACAAGTTTGTTAGACTTGTACTAGTCCAAAGTCACGCAGACGTCACATCGACCTTAGTTGTAACAAGACAGTTTTTGCTCAAGACCGAGTTTAATGCACACAAAACCAGAATTGAGGAGCACATGAGAGATTAGGATGTGAAACCCAAGCATCCAGACATGAGAGGACCTTAGCAAGACGGCTAGGAAAGCCCCCCTCTTCGTCCCACACGCTACATGTCCGCCTTGCCACGTAAGTCGTCTTGGTTTACAGGAGAGTTTTTGTTAACATGGCGCTATCTGACTGGCACGGCTGGCATACGTTCCATCAGCCTGCCTATCTGATCGCCGGATGGTCGTCACGGAGGAGTTCTTCCTGTGGCGCGCCTGGCAGTGGCCGGGCCGCGCGGCTGCCACTGGGGCCGGGGGCGCGCCGGCTGGGCGACCCGCCGCGGCCCGTCTCCGACAGCAGTGCCACCGGTGACTGTCGGATAAGCCGGGAGGATAAGAGTTAGTTGGTTCTCACTGTCCGATGTTTTCTCTTCTCCGAGCGCCGTCACAGTAGCCGGGCACCGTCTGACACGCTGGTTTAGTTCTCTAAAAGCCTGTTTAGAGCGCACGGTAGTACTTGACTAGTCGTTCAGTGCGGCCGACCGGGCCCGGGCCTTGCCGGTGATCGTCACCGGACGGTCCGATCACTGAGCTCAGTTCGGTGGCTTCTTTACAGTCTCGATTTTACAAGCAATTTGTACCGGGTTTTTAAAAGACCTATATTATATTATAGAATCTGTCACGGGAGGCCTTGTACCAGAAACTCCTCGTTGCTAGTACTTCCTTGGAGTGATTTGAAGGGGTAGTTTTGCCTGGAATCCGATGGGTAATAGGGCCCGTTTCTTGTGCAGGGTTTTCGATTAGTGATGCGACGCGCCTCAGAGTCTTAAGTGTACCCCCCTCTATGAGCCTGATGTCCACGGGTGGGGGTATGCGGACCCAAGTGGAAAGGTATCTCTGCTCTATGGGTGATCACGGATCAAGCAAGGGGTGGGGTGATTTACAGAATTTCCTGTGCTCTGAATTGAAGAAAGCACAAATTGCGTGTTTTCAAGGGTGCTATTAGTCAAAGTTTGTTGTATTTTTATGGTGGGGTGGTAATATTTGAAATATACCCATAAATGTTTTGCTGGGTGTTGAAAGATCTTTCGGGGTGACTTTTGTTGGGGTGGTTTTTTTAAAACCTGTTTTATAAGTTTTTTTTTAAAATACTAAAAATAGTTTTAGGCTCCAAAAAGTAAAATAGTTTGACTTGCAGCTTGCTGAAACGACATTGAGTGAAAACGTTTCACGAATAGAGAAGAATTTGCTCTTGGAAGCAAAATGTGAAATGATCTTCTTTCAGTTTTTACAACGAGCCCCCCTAGCCATCTCACCTCAATTTCTAAAAATATCAACAAAGCGTTCCTTCTGGTACCTTTGGTTTCTCATTTTAGCATCAAATGACTTCGATCGTTGTGATCTCCCCTGCCAGGTCAATAAGGCTGACCAAAAAAACATTGTTTTTAACTTTGTTTTAAACAGGGGTGAGCGAATTCGATTTCGGCTACAGGTATCTGAATTGGGTCTCATGTTCGTCAAGATCATCAAAGCTCTTTTTGTAATATAAATATTTGCCAACTTGAATTCAAATTTCACAAGCAAAAAGCATCAAAATGTCAAATTAGAGGAGCCCTACTGAAAACGAAGCAAAATACAATTGAATTCCCCCCAACCCTACCCGTGAAATCGAGAATGCTATTGCTGTGTCCCATGACCCATCATCTAGTACCCCTACCCCCTTTTACCTCTCTTTGGAGAACTACCCCGCCTTCATCTTTCAAACTTGAATAATCTGCGATTTCAATTGACGATCTATAAAGTTTAAATATTATATGAGTATTTGAAGAAATAAACGTTCAAATTAAAATTTATTTTTGAACATTTGAGCTCAAAATCTTCCACCCTACGGGATATTTTCAACAGACCCCAACAAAGTAGCAGGACCCGTCCACTGATCACCCCCACCCCCTTTTTGATAAATTTCCTCTCCTCCTTCGCTCGACTCCCGCCCAACCCTCTCCTCTCGTTCTTGCAATCCCCCTTCACCTTCCCCCCTCTCTCTTTCTCATCCTTTCCCGTCCCTCCTTTTTCTCCTCAACTCTCTTCTAGTCTCCTCGTATATTCAATCTTGCACGATCCTGCCAGATTTCCCTCCCTCATCTGCCATTCTTGATCTCGTAATCTAGATCACACTCTGGGTTTCGTGAAGGACGACTTTGATTGTTTATCCTGTTTTAAATCGGTTATTTATCTGAGCTGAAGACACTCTATCTTCTGCCGCAAGCTCATCAATTTATTGGTCGTGTACGTGTCTTTGTTTTGAATGGTTTATTGAAGCTACTGGCCTGGGGATCAAACCCTGGTTTGGATGGTTGTCTGAGGCACAAAAGTAGCTTCCGGATGAGATTTGCGCCAGAAACGACGAGTTATGAGAGCAACATGAACAAGACAGTCAGCAAATGCAGCTACGAAGACACTGATTACAACAGTGCATCTAAGAAGAGGAAGTTCTCATGTCATCAAGAAGTGATTGTCTCCTCGTTCTCTTTCAAGACCGGAGCGCCCAACGCAGACCTGGTGGTGGACGTCAGGTTCCTGCCCGACCCAAGAACCTTGGAGAATGAAGCTCCTGACATTGACGGGACGCACTCTCAAGTCGAGGAGTTCATCCGTGCGCGATCGAGCTTCGACAGCTTCTTCACTCAGCTCACTGAGAACGTTGCATCCGTTGTTGGCGATCTGAAGGACCGTGGCAGCGAGAGGGTGGAGCTGGCCATCGGATGCACTGCCGGTCGCCATCGATCAGTGTTCGTGGCTGAGAGGCTTGCACGATGGCTCCGTGAGAACGTGGGGGCTGACAAGGTCCGGGTGCTCCATCGTGAGATTTCCCCGAGGAGCCACCAGGAACTGATGGAAGACCTTGAACCCTTCGAGGATCAGTGCTTGATCACACCTACGGTCTGCAGAGTTGGTCCCATGCTCAAGTGCACCTACTGTCCTGACACCAACAACATGAACATCCAAGAAGTCAAGGGCCTGCAGTGCCCGTTAGCTTTGAGGAATGTCAGCTCCATCTTGGGGACAGGGCTCGAGAGCATCAAGGCGCTCCGCGAGAAGAGGAGGTTGGGATCGTTCCAGAGCAGCAGAAGTGAAATTCTGTGTGGAGAGTGGTCCCGGTCCGCTGATCACTGCGGTTCTTGATTGGTTCAGAATGTAAACATGTACATGAGGATTCCTCTATGCCGTGAAGCAGCATCGTGTAATGTAGCAAGAGGACGATGTAGAAAGAGTGTGTGCTTTATTTCGATCGATGAGGTTGAGGCGCGTAGATCGAGCTCGTTGAGTTCGCGCTCAACCTTCATGTAAGACGAATACAAGCTGATGCACCTGCCTCTGCTTTTGCCCTGTACATGTTGGGTTGAGGATGAAAACTTATCCTCCGCTTGTCTGCTCATCATCACAAGTGTCAATTGCTACACTTGTGACTGGATGATGTCAAGTGATCAAGTGCACTTGAGGAGCAGGGAAGACTCTTAAAGCAGCTCGCGAATGTGCTTCAGGGTTTCATTTCGGCAGCATGTCGCCAAGTGATGTGTTGTTCATGTTGTTGTGTGGTGGTTGGGATGTCTTTGACCTTTGAGGTTTCACCATGAATTTGTGCAGGTCAATATCCTGATTTCAGCTGGTACAGGTCCTTCCGCAGCAACCTGACCTCCTCCTTTAGCTCGCGGTTCTCGTTCATGAAATCCTGCAGTGACATGGTGAGAGGAGGAAGCAAACAGACGAGCATCGTCACCTGGAGCATCCGTTGAGTCTCCATCTGCTGCCTGTATTCAACATGAGAGAGCTGGAGGAGAGCACGGGGAGAGGTCGAGGACGGATACCAGTGAAACTGGCGGATCATGTCAAGGTGCATGTTCTTGACATCCTGTTGGATAGCTTCTTTCATCTATGCAAAACCGTCACTATTCTCTTGTCGTTTCCTCCTCCTCCTACCGCTGCCATGGCTTGCTCCATACTCGCCTGCAGGTAAGGAGACATTTCGGTACTCGTTTCATGAGTCCCGCGGAAGACTCTCCCAGGAGCTTCCGTGCCACTGGGAGCAGGAGAAGAATGCTGTTCTACCACAGGGCGAATAGCCTCCTCCTCACTCGCTGGCTTCCTGTTGGCAGGAGGAGGTGGTGGCAAGTCGGTCGGATCGACAGAAGTTCGGCTGCGCACGCTGATGACGTGTGGACTGAAGCGAAGGTCGAAGTTTGGCTGCTCCGGTCTGTTCGCGTTCCTCTGCACGTCTGTTGGGGTTTTAGTAGGAAGAGACAAGCGCTGAGGTGTGCTGATCTCCTCCTGAGAAGAAAGTCAAGAATGTTCAGATCATGGCAGCTCGAATACTGAGGGTCGTTGCATAATGTTGGAGGTGGAGTCTGTGGAGCTGGTCGGCAAGGTAAACATACGGACTGATCAAGTTTGAACAGGAGAACTCACTTGCGATTTTGTGCCTGGGACGCTCACAGTCAAACACTTGAAAAGGATGCGGTAGCAAGCAAACCTTGGGAGTTTCTACAGGTGCCTCCGGTTGCAAACCAACAGGTGAAGTGGACATGGCGTATCTAAGGAGCTCAATCAGGAGCAGGACAACCACAGCTGCTCAACCTCTTCTTCATGTTCTCTTCTTCCGCCTTTTTCGCTTGAATACGATCCAAATCTGTAGCTGACGACGTGTTCACGCTGGCGATGGGAGAGAAACCATGATTAAAAATCGAGCTGCTCGGCTCGAAGCTGTGTCTGGCATTCTCGTGCTGGAAGATTTGTCATCATGAATCTGAAGCTGATTGTCTTCGATATACCAACGGGGTCGAAGTTTCCGAAATTGGTGGGGAGAGGCCGTTGGTCTCCACCGTCGTCCTCGTCCCATGCGCAGGCTGTGGCGGAGGAGCGTTGCTCTCCGTCGGCTTTGCGTTCTCCTTGCCCGCAGTCCCTGAGGAGTGACGAGTGAGATGAGGATTTCAGCTGAATCTAGTGAGTTCTTCTCACTCTGTCTTGTCTTAGCGCTGGATTTGGGAGGAGTGAGCTGGAAACGAACAGAGTTGACGGGGCCACTATGAGCGTCCACGGCCATTGTGGGGGATCCGCCAGCTCCAAGAGCGCGAAGGTCATAGACAAACACCTGAGTGTCACTCATCAGTCTCAAGAGACTGTCATGACCTGTGTCAACCTTGCCCGTCTCAGTGCCAGCAGAGACCGTGAAGCCGTCGTTCATGAAGTCGAGGGCCGTGACGCTGCAAGTTGAGATGAGACAAGATGAGCTGAGTGCAGTCCGAGTCACTCACGGAGCATCACAGACGATTGACTTGACAAGCTTGTTGGCCTGCACGTCATAGAAGTACAGGTGCCGATCAAGCCCTGCGCTACAGAGCAGGAGCTCGTTCACGGGGGAGAACACCAACCCAGTCACCTTGACCAACATATCAGAGGCTGCGTTAGGACAAGGAGCAGCCTACCGTGCTCTTGTGATGCTTGAAGTTTGAAACTACAACATCTCCCTTGCCCGTGTCCCACAATTGCACGCACGATTCTTCTCCAGCGGCAGCCAGTATCCCCTTGCTGCCAAGAAAAATCAGTCAGGCAGGCAGCAGCCCAACCGCAGCACACCGGAAGGGAGAAAACTGAGCGGCAAGGATTGCGTCTCCTGCTCCTTGTCCTGTCCGGATCCAGTGGGGAGTAGTGGACGAGGAGATGGTATGTACAACTACGTCTCCCACCCGGGACCCCGAGGCGACGAAATCATCTCTGTCGTTGAAGGAGCAGCAGGTGATCTCCGAGCGGTGACCATGGAGCACCTGGTCCATACTGTCATCAGCACCATGAGAGCATGGAGGCAACACTACCTTGGACGTCTCTCTCTTCTTGCAGTCCCAGATCCTCAAAGTGCGATCGTCACTCCCGCTGCAGATCGTGAGGGATTGGGACGCGAACGTGAGGGCGGAGACGGCACTGGGCTTGCTAGCCGATAGATTGGAGGTTGTGAGCGTGTCTATGTGAGCTCCTGCTGGCGTGAACAAACCGATGCTACCAGTCGTCTTGCTTCCCACCGCCATGATCTAAAGGCAACATGAAAAAGTACCCGTCTCCTTCCCGGTCGTACCTGAGCAGAGCGACTCCATCCAAGAGTGGAGGTCTTGCCGAGATCATGCTGTAGAGCGAAGTCTGCCTTTCCTTGCACGATGGGGAGTTGCCACAGCAACACCTCAGAGTCTGAGCAGGAAACGAGGGAGACAGGAGGCGGCATGGCTGCAGGAATCTTTGAATTTCAATCCAATGGCAGCCTTAGAAGTTCCTTTCTACCTGTTGAAGGTGCTTCTATCCTCTTCTCTCCAATCTCTTCTTCTATTCCTCCTCTTCTCCTCTCATCCTCCTGCGGGCTGTTTCCTCGTCTTCCTACTCGCCCTGTCGCCCGTCGTGGACTGCCATGGCGGGAACTCAAATCTCTTAACCTGATTCCGCTTAAAATTTGGATATTTCAACCAAAGTTCTGTTAAATTAAGTGAGATTCAAGTCGACATATTTGAAAATTCAGACCTTGAATTGTTGAAAATAACCCTATGTAAGTTGAGGATTATTTCGAAATTACTCCCGACGCTCTTCAAAACTCGATTAGCTCACCTACAATTTCAAAGATACGGACCGCACCAATTTACAAATTCCGATTTCTCACCCCCTCCCTACCCTGTCAAAGTACCCCCTCCCTGTCACATTTGAGTACCCCCACCCCCGCCTGTCCTCCACAGGATCGCAATGGCTGAGGCCATGCAGAGGCTTCAGCGGGGGGACAGCGTCATGGAGCCGAAAGCCTTCGAGGATCTGAAGGTGAAAAGAGGGAGACGATAATGGGGAGAAGGAGAAGAGGAAGAGACGAGGAGACGAGGAGGAGACGGAGAGCTGCACATGCAAGGGAAGAGGGGAGGGGAACAGAAGTGGGAAAACCAGGATCAGATTGATCCATCAACAAGGGATGAAGGAGGGGGAACAACAGTGCCCTAGACACGTAGATGATTGGACTGTTATCTCGCTGTAATACAGATGACACACACAATCTAGCGAGAAGTACCAGAGGATGCGTATTTTTCTTGTACAGAACCTGTTCCCTCTTGCCTCTCTTGCTCATCTAGCCTTCACCCTCAGCTTCTGACGCCACCTATCAGGCATGTCTGCTCGCTGGCCAGGAGCCCTCGATGCTTGTCGAACAGCTCAGCGACAACTATCACGGTTATGCTCAGATGGCGAACCTCCTCTGCGAGTGGCACTGCTTCCTCGGGGACGATCGGAGGGCAGTGGACCGAGAAGTGAGGGGCTATCTCAAGTCTATGATCATCAAGCATTTCGGGCTGGAACAGATTGACCTGCAGCAGATCAGCAATCCGCGATGGCTGGAGCAGATGGTGAGAGAGGAACCACGCAGAGACATGTGCAGGCAGGATGACAGGGATGCAGCAGAAGAATGTTGAGGGGGAGAGGGAGAGGGAGAGGGAGAGGGAGAGGGAGAGGGAGAGGGAGAGGGAGAGGGAGGTGCACTAGCAAGAGCTCGGATTGTTTCCGACAGATGTCCGCAGATTCAGGACCCGGAATGGCGCGATCTGATCTATGAGCTCTCGGAGCAATTTCCATCGTCTTTGCTGATCTCATTCGCAATGGAGAGGATATCGCAAGTCAGCGCTGGTAGGCATCCTCGTCTGAGGACTGACTTTGCTTTTTGCAGCAAGTTGGACTCGAAGCGGAAAAGGCTGGGGCAGAATCGGCCTCTTCCAAGCTCAAGGTGAGGAGGGGGCGGTGAAGGGAGTGGAGCAGCAGAGGGGGATTGATCGCTGTACAGATCTTCAACTCCGTGCTGAAAGAGACGCTAGCAGACATGACCAACGGGAAGGAGGTGAGGGAGGCAAGGCTTGCGCTCCCTTGCTGAGTTCAGCCAGGTGATGCCGGAGGACCTGGAGGCCTTGAAGAGCCTTATATGTCATAGCGAGCATACCTTCGTATGCCCTTGGGGTCTTTGGGAGGAGGAGGTGACTGCTATCAGGTGTACGTAGTCGCTCTCTTCCGCCAGCTCGCTATGAAGCACAAAGGAGAATTCCAAGAGGTGACATGATGATAGAGAAAGGCAGCAGCTGCTCAGGAGAAGGAGAAGCAGTGCTAGTGGCAGTGGCAGTGCTAGTGGCAGTGGCAGTGGCAGTGGCAGTGGCAGTGACAGCAGTGGGAGCATCCTTCAGGACAAGAGTGTGTAAGGGATCGAGAGCAGAGCAGTTGAGAGGGGCGAGGAGGGAGGAGGGTGAGAATCTTGCAACAGGAGTGCCTCCTTCGGTTGAGCGAGGAGATCCGAGTAGAGATCGCAAAGGTGAGCTCGTGGTCGTGTCTTGGTTTCTTCTGATTTCTTTCAGCGCGGGAAGGGACGGCAGGCAGAAGCTTTCTGCAACGCCATCACAGGGGCAGTCGAGTACCCTGAGGTCGCTATGGCGGTGAGGATTCTCCCCGCAGTCTTTCTTTCACAATTGACTCCCCGCTCCCTGTTCTTGTTTCTTTGCATCAGATTGGATCGATGACAAGCACGAAGAAAACAAATCCGTCGGACATTTCTAAGGTGACAAGTTGATGTAGTCGTTGGTGATGGTGGAGATGATGATGATGCGGGCTGAGGAAGGGAGAGTTGAAGGAGAGTTGGGAAACAAGCAGTGAGGAGTTGCAATGGTGAAGAACAAGGAAGCGGACGAAACGTTGACGAATTATGAAGAGGAAGAGATAAGTTGACAAGAAGGTGTAACTCGTTTCTCAGCTCTACAACATCTACACAGCTGAAGTAAGCAAACGTCCGCCAGCATGGCTGCTGCAACGTCACGATTTTCTCCACATCCTTACTGAGGTAGCTGTCCTGCTCCCGTATGATTCTCCCTCCCTCACTTGCCGCTTCCTCCCCTTTCTCATCTCTCCCTCCATCTTCCTTGCGCTCCCTCCAGCCTCATCTTGTTGGTACAGACTGTCTTCGACCCAAAATTCAAGATCAGCCCTGCGTTCGCCAACAACTATCGCTGGCTGCTGTCCTACGCTGCCATGTCTCCGTAGTACTCCCTCCCGCTCCTCTCCTCACTTGAACTCTCAGAGATCACGATCGGCGACCAGACGGAGAGGCAGACGGGCAAGAGGAGGCCCCTGCTTCTCCTCCTGAGGAGAGGGAGGAGTTCAAGAAAACTATGGAGCAGATCGAGAAGGTCCAGGCGTTGACCAAGGATGAAAACAGCGCCATGTCGCCTGAGACGCTCATGGTGACCGAGGAAGCGGTTGAGGCGACGCTGACTGCCCTTGCAGGCGCTCAGGGAAGGGATACAGCAGTGTGAGATTGTCTCTGTCGGTATCCTGCTGTGGGTGGGAGGGAAGGTGACGAGGAGACGCGAGGGAGGATGGGGAGGATGACGGCGATGAGCAGCTGGTGGAGGAGAGCTTCTACCTTCCTGGGGGGGGGCATGTGCGCCTGGCGAAGCCTTACCAGCAGATGATGGAGCATTGCGTGCTGATCTACCCGGCCCAGAGGGAGATCTTGTTGGAGATGCTGCAGAAGGTAGGGAGAGAAGGAGATGGATGTTGTGGAGGAGCATCTGACTCGTCCCAAGATATGGGATGTGAGCTTGCAGCTGGGAGGAAACGGGAACCAGGAGGAGAAGGTCCTGGCAGGGGATATCGCGATTGATAACATGCTGTAAGGAGAGGGTGGATAGAGAGGACAGGCTGAGGGAGAGGCAGCGGATGGGAAGGGGAATGGGAGGATGAAGATGAGAAAGGAAGGGAGGAGCAGGAGGGGTATAGGAGGGAGGAGGAAGGGAGGAGCAGGAGGGGTATAGGGGGGAGGAGGGAGCTGAGTCAAGGAATGGTGATCCGTGTTTCCTTCAGGTTTCTCTTTGAACTCGGGTCAGTTCTCAGAGCGATGAGATCTCTTGCCCGGTAGGACCCTGATGCCTCATTCCAACCTTTTCCTCTCCTTACTCCTCCTTCTCCCTTCACTTCGTTCTCGGATCACTCACTCTCTCCTCCTTTCCTCCTCCCCTGCCATTCCTCCTCCTCTAGCTTCTCCTCTCGTCCCTCCACTGACTTCTCCTCAGCTGGGCACCTGTCATGACGCCAGAGCAGCAGCATCGCACAGTGACTGAGGTGGGTGAGGAGCAACATGCTGGCATTGACGGGCTCTTGTCGCAGATCCTGTCCTGCAGTCTTCCGCCCTTCTCGTCGCAGTTTGTCTCGACGTTCTTGGGCCTTCTGCAGAAGATGCCCTCGCTGGACGCCCTTCAGCTCAGCGTCTCTTTCTCCTCCTCCTCTTCCCCTTCCTTCTCACGTTGACACAGGCTGAGAGTAAAAGTCTGATGAAGGACTTCCAGACATACCTGGAAGGTCTCGATACCCTACAATGTTTGTGTTGCTGTCTAACGATGTGGCAGGTTCCAAGGGCAAACATGATATTGGTGCGTGTTGACATTTGAATCTCAACTCGTCATGATCGTTCACAGATGAAGACTTGCAAGGCATCGTCAAAGAGATCTCGAGTACGAGCTGGAGCTGATGATCGTGTATTTTCAAATGTATGTTAGAGGTGACTTAACCGTCTGGGACTCAATCAAACCCCTTTAGATTACAACTTATTTGATAACATAAAATCAATCAATCAATCTCTCTCCATCTCTTCTGACGGCTGCACGTCCTGCAGCAGATCAAAGATCTCACTCTCAAGGCCAGCCATCTCAGCCGTGTACATGAGTTTCAGTGACTGCATCAGCTTCTGCTTGTATCGGATCTTCTCCATCACAGCCTTGTCTTGCCCATTCATCAGGTCGCCGCCATGTCGCTCGGCTGGTCGTGCTGGGCTCTCAGGGTCTTGCCTGCTGTCATTGGGGCTGCTCTCGTCATGCAGGTAGGACGCGCTCTCATCGATGGGCTCAAGCTCAAGTCCAGCTTGGCTGGCCCGTGACGGCAGGCGGAACCTGAGCGACCTGCTGGGGTCGGAGTCGTAGAGAGGATCTCGAGGATACTCTTCCACCCTCTCCTCTGACCTCCCGCCCAGCTCGTGCTCGTGCTCTTCAGTCGCTGAGTGAGGCCTCGCCCGGACATGCAGCCCGCTCAGCGGTCTACTTGCCCTGTTCATCGCGCTCTGGGGGCGACCTTGCACCCTCGTTCTCAGCAGGTTGTTTCTGATCGCCTTCCACTTGGACCCTCGTCCTTCCTGCGGCTTGATCCAGTCTCGTGGAACCGAGTCCTCCTCCACCAGCTGCTGTACCTCTAGAGCACTCCCGTCTCCTTCAGGCTGCGTGACGAAGCTGTCAACTCCTGCACCTTCAGCTTGCTCGTCGCCTGCCAGGTCAGCAGGTTCGAAGATGGACTGGTACCACTGCGAGCTATTGCCACTTGCTGTGTTGGGTCTCAGTGCCCGTATGTTCTTCTGCTGCATCCATGAAGCTGAGGACTCCAGGGCGCTGCTTGGACGGCTGAAAGAGCGCCCGTTAACGAGCTTGGCTGTCGTGGGCCTGGAACTGGCTTTCACAGTAGAGCAAGCAGAGTATGCTGTGCTGGGACGACTATCCACAAGTTCGATCCTTTCTGTGTCGAACTTCTCGAGCTCGTTCACGACGGCTTCTATCTTATGCTGGATCACTCTGTTCTCCTCCCTCGTCCTTTCCTCCATCAAGCTCTGCATCAGCTTGTTCTTCTTCATCAGGCCTCTCCCCTCGGCTGAAGCTTTCCACAGCTTCCCTATGACCTCCAACGTGAGCTCCTTATAGAACGAGTTGCTGCATCGACTGACGATATGAAACAGGCTCTGGACGGCTCCAGCTGCGAGGATGTTGTTGATGCCAAGAGGAGTCTGCGCGAGGTGGTGGAAACCAGCGGCTGCATGCACAACTTGAAATGAAGTTCCGGCCTCGCCGAACCTGGCAAACGTGCGAGCAGCCGCCATGGGCTGTATGTTGTTCATGTTCTTCCACAGCGAGAAGGCGTTGTCTGCACACTGCCGGGCAAGGTTCTCCTCACCCGCCAGTATCCTGTTTCTCTTCATCTCATCTGCTGGCGAGATGGACGTCTGCAATGAAGACTGCGATGCTTTCCGAGAGGGAGGAAACTGAGAGATGGGGGCTGTCACGTTTGGTGCAACAATAACGTACTCCAGCTTCGAGTTGCAATTTCCAAACTTGATCTTGTCCCCAATCTTCAAGATGACTGTGTCGTTGTTGCATCGCTTGCCATTGACAAAGGTACCGTTGCTGCTGCAGTCCTTCAAGTAAAGAACATCTTTCTCCAACGAGACCTCGCAATGACGTCTGGACATTGACTGCAGATCATCGGCCGAGACCCAAGATTTCTCCAACACAATGTCACTTTTCTCGGCTCTTCCGATGACGACCACGTTCTTTTCTTGTGACAGCTGCAGTGGAATACATCGTCTGGACGTAACTTCCTCTTCGGCCACCAAGAAGTAGGGAGCAAGGTGTTTTTCAAGTTTGAACGTTTTTTTCGTCGTGTCAGCGTTGCTCGGGGCAATTGCTGAGATATACTGACGTATCAATCTAGAATGAATCTTGTGGCTCTCCATGGCAGACGTCTCACTTTCCTGCTCAGTACAAGTGTGAGGCAGAGACATCTCACAGGAGAGAGCGGACCTTGGCAACATGTGTCCAAGGTATTGAAGTGGCTGGTGCTGTCTGCGGTCTGAGCCGAACCATCTTCTGATATCCTTGGCTTTGCCTCCATCGCACGAACGAGTTGAGGTTTTCCATCCCAGATTTTAGAATGTCCGCCCTGCATTGCAAATGTTCAGAACCGAAACTTTTTACATCGAATTGAATTCACCTGTCTTTGTTTTGAACGAAAGAAAACCATTCATCTCTCAACCTCGCATCGTTCTCTTCTTTTTGCTTCATTTCAAGGAATTGTTTCTTTTTAAGCTTACGGGCCTCTTCGGGAGTCAAGTCAACGTCATCAAGCTCCTCCTCATCGTTTCTGTGCTTCTTCTTCTTGAGGTATGGAGGCGCGAGCGTGACCTTGGGAGGAGGCTTGTCTCCTCGAATGGCTTTGGCATTGAGCACGTCTTGTTTCTCCCCATCGCTCATCCTTGTTTCCCACCATCTTCTGTCTTTCTTAGTATCCAACATCTCAAGCGAGCAGCAGGCGGAACAGCCAATCTATCGTATGCCTGCTGCTCTGCTCTCGCCTCTTGTCTCCCCCTGGTCTGTTGCTGCCTCCTCACAGCGGCATGGCGGCCTTCATTGGCTGGTATCAACCGTTATTATCGGCGCTACCAAGCCCGCACCAATGTATGAGCGCATCAGTGTGCCAATTTTGTACCGTTCCGGCGCCGGGCGGCCCGGGCGCCGGGCGGCACCGAGCGGGCCGCCGGGCGGACTCGCGGGTGACACCATGTCGACTGACTCAGTGAATCCAATCCGGCGCTTCAATTTCACTCAGGCTCGGTCCGACGGCGGGCGCTGCCCCCCCGCCCCCCCGCCGACCATCATCTGATCGGAGGCGTGCCGCGGCCTGGAGAGGCGGGCGGCCCCGGCGGCCGCGAGTGTCAGAGTGTGACACCCACTGGTGACGGTGGCTGACTACTCGGGGTGGGCTAGTAGACTCAGAGTCGGTGGCACGGCAACTCACTGCGTGACCGTCGGACTAGGCTGGCGGGACTCTCAGTCTGCCACTCAGTGACCCGGCAAGAGCTTCCCAAATTCCGAAGTTCACTGTCACTTGACTCTGTGTGAGACTCAAAGTCACTGCTCACTGCCGCTGTGCGGCGGCCTGACAGTGCCGACGGTGACTAAACCGTCCGGTCCGGCGGACTCGGAGGTGAGTCACCGGGCCCCGGGGGCGCGGCCGGGGCCCCGGGCCGCCGCGCACTGACGGGGGCCGTACTCGAGGCCCAGCGGCGACGGTTCGTGGCGGAACTGCAATGATAGGAAAACCCAGCTTGGCAAGTTGGTGGCACGTACTAGCAGTGACGCGGCAAGAGGAGGGCAGACTCCGAGGGATGATTGTTACGATTCTGAAGTGATCAGTCAGTGAGTCGGCGAGTGGGAAGCACTCCTGATGGTCAGGCAAGTCTTTAAATCTGATCTTTTATCGATTTCATTTATTAGAGATATCGCAGAGTGGTCCCAGTAGTAAGCCCCTAAATCACACTAGATTCATTTCATGAAGTCATTGCCATCACAACCATTCGATTGAAGAAGGAATCCATAGGAGTGAAGACTATGCGTCCTTGAGTACTTGCAGTACTTGAGACACGTACAAGCTTGAGGGTTCTTGGCGTTTTTAAGTCAATGGATATTTGATCGTTTCTGCATTACACATAAAACTCCGGCAAGAGTATGTGAGTTCTTATCAGGTTGCTGTTATATGATGTTGGTTTCCCTTTGCACATGGAAACATCGTTGTATGTATCTCCAAACTGTCCGAAATCTGTGATGAGGTTTTCAGAGTTTGAGACTGGTGCAGTGCATGGGCTGGACCCAAAGAATAATTCAAATTCCTTTTTCGATGTGGGCAGGTTGCAAGGTCTAATTCCAAAGAACAGTTCAAATTCTTCTTTCGATGTGGGCGGGATTACTTGTTTCATAAAGATATTGAGATATTTGCCGTTCTGACTGACGCTGTGAGATTTTGTTTTGATATCGAAGCAGAACCAGGCTAGAAAATATTGACTCAAGGCCAGTGACACCGTCTTTGCGAGCTCCAAGGAGGAACGATACCAAAGAGGCACTGGGCCTTGAAAATGTTTCTAAGAGGAAAGCGAGTTGACAGACAGATCACCAATGTCCCCACTGAGGAGCAACGATGATCTGGAGCCAAGAAGAGAGGGTCAGCGAGCAGGCCAAGCTTGGCTCTGCTGTGGACAAGAGGGCGTGCGGCGGGATTGAGCCTGGTAGCAACTCAAGTTACAAAAAGGGGTTTTAAATTACCCCTGGGAACCACCCGGGTGTCAGTCGGGTTCCGGCGGTGCTGTGGGTGGGAGGGGTGGGGGATAAATCGACTGGCAGTTTGTGGTCCCCTGGAAGCCTCAGGGAGGGGTTGAAAAGCTGACAGGCAGACAGAGCCCGGGGGTAGGAGGCGGGTAGACGGTAGGAGGGGGTGGGTAGAAGGTGGGACTGGGGAGTGACTCCAGGGGTACCCCGGACGCCTTGCAAGAAGGCGGTGAGGAGAGTAGAATTGCACCAGGAGCTCCGGCAGCTCTCAGGCTCCGACGGCGGGGGGAGGGGTGGTAACTCGCCGGGTGAGAGCGATGGGGGTATCAGGCGGGGGTAGGTCGGCGGCTTGGTCATGGTCAAAGTTTCTATTTCAGTGATGGATTCTGATGGTCGTTGGGAGCCAGATAGACCTGTAGTAATCTAGTAGTTGCTCTGACGGTTAAAAGATGACGTGCGCTGTAGTAAAGCAGTGCATGGTTACATGAGTCACGTCCAGCCGCAACCACTGGTGACATGATCCGGGACTCGAAGACCACTGATCAGGCCCGACCTACCCTGGCCGCCGCCCGGCGTACCGTAAGTTATGATGATTAGCAGGCTCCAGCAGGCTTGTCCCGGGCGAGTGACCGTGACCTCCACGTGTCAGTGCCACGGTGCTGTCCTCCTTGCTCCATGCACGCACTGCGTGCATGGAGCAAGGAGGACAGCGGCATGTTTGACCATCCCCTCCTCCTTGCCGTACCTCAGCGCCTCCTGTGACATGCCCTGCATCACTTGCCTCTGGTGAGCGCATGCTTTCCCTTTCTTAACCGGGTGAGTTCCAGGCCTCCCACCGAGCTCGTTCATGAGCGATCAACAGATCCCATCGTCCCCATCTGTCCTGAATAGGCGAGTCACAAAATTAGCGCAAGTCCATCCCTCTTTGTTCCCAGCAACTTTCCCGTACACGCAAAATGAGCGCATCACAATCCTTCTAGTCTTGTTCTCATGCCCGAGCAGCTTTTAGCTCTGCCAATCAGCCAAAGTTTCTCCTAGCTACCCACATTGATCAAGTAATGACGTGCTGATAGAGCTTGCCTCCCGGTCACTCGTCATCTCTGTAGAGCCGTTCGAGGAGCGAAGTCCAGCAAGCGCTCAATCTCTTGTTCAAACATTGCAAGACAGACGGCTGTCCATTCGTGTGTCACTGACCGCTCTCTTCAAGCATACTCAAACTTATTGTTTTCTCTATAGTATCTGCTATCTGATATACGTTTCCGCCCTTCGTCGCTTGCTAGATGTTTGTATGACAATAGGGTGCGGGCGATAGTAGCCAACAGTTGAGAGTCTCAGGTAGACATGGAGGAAAAGCTATTCATTTGAAATTACTTCCGACCATCAAAGCCTCACAAAGAAAATAAGCTTTTAAATCCACTGGTCCTCATTTTTCCTCCAGTAAATCTCATAGGAACCACACATCCGTTGGACCGAGTTTCAAAAAAAGTATTGTAGTTAGCATAGTTCTTCTAGTTGATCATGACAGTAGTCTTTCTAGTACCTCTGATAATTTATTCTAGTTAATCATGACCGGAGTATTCTGGTGTCTCTGATCATTTATCCTCTGTATCCCTAGTCTCTGGCCGAAAGCGAGCTTCTTACATAATGGATGACACAAGTAAAGACAAGAAATCACTTCAATCACCATCTGAAAAAAATCAAACAGCTGCATAATTTTCCTATTGTCACCTTGCCTCTTACCTCTCGCACACTAGGTTCACAAACCCTCGTTCTACAAGTGCCATGTTCGTTCTTTGCTGCATCTGTCCCCCACCCCCTCTAGGCTCATGACAAACAACGGGTAGTTGAAGAGAATTGTGTACCCCCTCTATAAAGACATCTTATCACGGGTCAACAAAACATAGTACCCCTGCCATAAAGTTACGAACAAACAGGGGGTAGTTAGTACCCTCTAACGGACACCCCTACCTTTGACTAAATTTGGAGGGGTGAGAAACAAGTGGGGCGTATTTGTTGGATCACCCCTACCCCCTTGTTCGAGCCTTCCAGCAGAAAACTTGGATGACCCCCGTCATTGAAAACCTGGAGGATCAAGGGGTAGAGAATGAGCAGAGGGGGGTTAGAATATGAGGGGGTAGGGTAGTATGAGCTTAAAAAAACAATTCCACCATCACAAGAACGCATCGTTTCGTCAGGCCGGTGTTTTCAACCTATTGGTACAGCAGTCGGGAGGTGGGGGGTACCCACCCCACCCCCTCTAATATCGGAATTCGCAAACAAGAGAAAATTTTAAAACATTATACATGTAGTAAAAACTGCTTGTGCACGTGCCACCTACCCCCCCGAATAGCATAAAAGGGGAAAGAAGCCTCCAAACCAACATCTCCGGCCACTCCCATGCCACCCCCTGAAAGCCTCTAAGTTTTCCCTATTCCAGCCTTGCACATACTCTTTACCCCACGACCTCGTGCTCGAATCCATCCACGAACTCCCCCTCGCCCTCCAACTCGATTGCCCTTCAACTCACCACCCCAACGATATCGTGCCTGCGCAGTGCGGTGATTTCGTGATTTGATTTCGTGGCTCTGATTTGGTAGTGCTCATTTCATTTCACCACCCCCTTCCGCCGGTGACCCGCGGCTGTTGATCGCGGAAGGCTCTCGGGTATTGACCGGCAGCACCAAGTAGAATCGAACGAGCTAGGTATCGAGATGCCGGAGAAAAGACGCAGGCAGTCCAAGAAGGGAGGCTGCAAGAGGAGGAGGGGTACCGGCAAATGCAACCAGAGGGGCGATGAGAGGGAGGGGGTGGTCGAACAGATTCAACTCCAGGACAAGGCCCTGGTCGAGGCGTTCGCGGCGAGCATCGAGGACGCCTTGGCGGAGGCAAGGCTGCCGCAACGATCTGAGGAGGAGGAGGAGGAGGAGGCCGAGCGGGTGATCGATGACCTCGTGAAGCCTGAGGTGGAACTACCCCTGGAGGCGATTGATTCCATCAACATACCCTACCGGTGGGTTCATGAAATGCCAACATCCCTCGAGCGGGTGGGGGTCCTGCATTCGTACGTCCTGGAAGACAGTGACGATGAATTTGAAGCTGCTCTACAGCTAAAATAATAGAACGGATGGACAGAGAACGGATGGACAGCATTTTTGAAAGGTCCTGGGTGGGTGCTTGACCAGGAGGGTGGGTACCGTCGGGCTCCCAGGTATCGATCCGGCGGGGGGACTCGATTTGTGTTTTGAACTTGTCATCGATCATTTGAAGTATCAGGATGTATTTTAAAAGCGTTCGTTAGTAACAAACAAACGATTTGAACGGCATTGATGAACCCCTACCCTCAACATTTATTATTCAATATATTGTAGTTCCTCGAATGCCTCACTCGTACTGATCTTTAACTTAACTTTGAGTAAACCCTCACAAATGACCTCCGTGAGCCAGCCCCTGCCCTGTGTTTACTCAAAGTTCATTAAGTTAAAAATCAGTACGAGGACAAGTATGTCAAGACAAAAGACAGCGAGAACCAAAAAACAAAAAAAACCAATCCTGCCAATTGCTGTCCCCCAAACTTGACTGATACCTTCACTTAAACTGCGCGCAGGACAATTCCCCCGCGCCATGTCAGCGATGTCGCTGTGGCCGCCGCCGAAGGAATGAGACGCATACCGGAACGCACCCGCGATGATGGCAGCGAAGGACAGGAAGGCCTTGAGCTGACGAAAGATCTGGACCGGATTCGTTTGCAAGTCGGATCACCTGAGACATCTTGCGAAGCCGAGAGACCATCTAGCGCTGCCGTTTCCTTGGTCGACGAGCGATCCGCCAGCCACCACAGAAAGCGCAACTTCGCCATCATCCTGCAAGAGTCCATCAGTGCTGGCGATGATGGGAAGAAAGGCCTTTGGCGGGACGTGCTGAGCATATGCATTACAATGCCCTCGGATGTTCCTCTGTGCTGCTGCTTGCAGTTTGCTCCGAGCGAGGTCCGGTATCCCATCATTGTCAAAAACATGTGGCATGCTGAGGTCCAGGATTAACCTATGCCATCGGCCTCTAGTAGCCTGCAGTTGCGGAAGTTCAAATTCCCCTACGTGAGGACGACGGAGGTGATGGCTGATGGGCTGCTGCTCAAAGATCCCAAGGTTTGTACTTTCCATAATTGAGTGTGCGCTGAGGGATAAACTGAGACAGAAGTTCATCAACCTGGTGGCCTGCCACGGTACTCGAAGTGGACCGGGAGGAGGTCGGACACTGCAGGGAGGTTTATGCCTCGGAGATTGCCCCCAGTGGGCCTCTGGCTCTGCTCCAGAATCCATGATGATCCGACCTGCAGACTGTGCAGTGCATACCGTACTCACGGTAGCACAGTGCGGGCAAGTGATTCCGAAGGATCAGGCAGCGGGCCTGCCGCAAAGTGTCGGAGTCCGAGTCTGGCGCCACGGAGCCCCCGGCAACGCCCGGCAGTGAACGTGGACGTGTAGATGATCATTGGATGGCCTTGGCAAATATCCGTCGGTCATTGGAGTCACGCTAGGTTGATTTCGGGGGGCCGCCGGGTCCTTTCATCTTCGGAAGAGCCTTTTATGAACGTACTACCCCTTGAAGGCCCTGAGGCCCCCGGGTAGTAGTAGTGCCTCATAGCCCGCCCATGGGGTGTTAACTCACAACATGAGGGTGCTTCAGGCGGTGGGGGAGGTACCGGTAGTAACTTGAACCAATAAAAGTGTTTTAAAGGCTTGTAGCCCCTGCTGGCCAATAATGGCAGAGTCATCCACTAGTGCTGGGACGGGTGGGTGGCGACTGAGAATACTAAGGGGTGGGTACATGAAGGGTGTATGTAGGGTGGGTGGTGGGTGAGCCGCTACCAAGGGGAGGAGCCCCAGGTTGCCAATCACTTGAGGCAGAACGCAAGGACCCACCAGTGCTGTTGACTGCTAGAGGCGATATGGATGAGTAGGTGGGGTAGGGCAAGTGCATACACCCCTCCCTTTGACCAAACAAGATGGAGAAGTAGTGTGGTAGTAGGTAAGGGTAACTAGATTTTGATAGTTTAGATATGGGGTGGGGTAGGATCGGAAGGGTGGGGTGTTTGTTATTCAGTTGTGCGCGCGGTTGTGAGCGGCCATGGAGGTCGACAAAGGAGTGGAGGGGGAGGAAGGAGAGGATTCATTGAAGTCAGAGGGGAGAAGAAGCAGCGAACTGGAAGGGAGAATGGAGCCCTCTGAAATTTCAGAAGCTACGACCGTCCCGTTGACGAAAGAAGCCATCGAAAACTTGCTGGGATGTAGAATGATTGAGCATAATGAGCCCGATGACGAGGAGGAAGAGCACATTCAGTGGATTCGCCCTCCGAGGCTTCAGAGGGAATCTTTCAACAAAACAAACAGATCAACTCCACAAGATGAAGAAATATGTAATGAAGGAGCTGGAAATTTGGCACACAAGGTGATGAGTGTCCAAACCATGCCAAGTGATGGTGTTTGTTGATGCATTGGAACCAGATGTCATTGCCAGGCACGGTCGAGCCGTCGGTCGCATCGTCAAATCTTGTATACATGTTTTGTTTTGACAACACATGAAAACAATACTGATTCATGTCGAATTTCAAGTCCACGGAGAAAGAGAAACTTCGCCTTCAACTTCTTGAAAACCGCCTCCTGGAAACTGTGAGTCCTGTTAGAAACGTGGCAGCCGGTGATGACTTTTGCTTCAAACAGGAGCGGCACAATCAGATTCTGATGGAGAGGCTGAAAAAGCAAGAAGCGACGCTCAGGCATATGGACCACCATCTGCCGAAAAGGGCTACGACAACCACTGACCTGATCCCCAATACCACAAACAAAGGTTTCGTCAAACAGAATTTATCCATGCACAGCATTACAGAAGAACAAAAGCGAAACAAGACTGTACATTTTTCTTCGAATGCTGCTTTAGAAATAGCTGAAAGATCGCATTCCAAGTTTGAAGGTGCAAAGCCAAGAGCAACAACAACGGATGATTCAGTGAAAGTTGATGTCAAACCTATTGAGAGAATGCTCATCATGCAAGCGGAGTCAGGCACTGTGACCTCGGGGTCAGATGGCAGAGCGAAGAGGACAGCCATCTATTGCAGTCTCTTTTGCATTGTCGTAGGGTTATTCATCGGCGGCGTTGTTGAAATCTTTCGGAGGTATTCGCAATGAGGCACGCGAGAAACTTCAGTCATCTGGAACTCTATGATGCCTGGTAGGCCACCAGGAACCCAAGGACAACTGGTTGAAATATAATACTTGAATCTAAGATAGTTGTAAGTCATTTCTTGGTTTCATCAAATTGAGCCTTTATTGACCAAATGTTGTACAGGGAGAAGGCATTCACCCCAGTATCCCCGAAACAATTTGAAGAAACTGAACTCTGTCAGTCAGGCGATCTTTTGTTGCAATTCTTGGTCTATTATTGACATGCACTTGTCTAAAAGGACAGGGATCTTAGAGGATCGAAATGCGCAGCTTCTGAAGTGAATTTTCGCCAGACGTTGAGCTTGTTGATACGATCAACTGAGATAACGTCATGGTGGTCATGGGTTCGAGCATAGGCCAAACCATTCAAGCGCGATCGAACTACAGAAGGTGGATTGGGATCAAAATGCAATGTTGATCTTTGACGACGCATGTACTCTATACCTGGGAGCCATCTTTCACATACCCCTGGTTGAGTTGATTGCAGGTATTTGCTTACCTGACTTTGTCGACGTTGATTTTGATGGAGTTCTTCCAGCAAGGCTGGATCTCGTGTGCAGATTGCAAGGAGCCCAGAAGTTGTCTTCACCACGCAGCTCTGGATGTGCACCAAGTTTGGAAATTTTCTTGCTCGGCATGAAGCAGGGAGGAGTCAAGAACTGCTGGCGATCACAAGCAGAGGCTTGATCGAGCATGGAGCGAAGTACAAGATCACTCCTGTGAAGGTCTCAAATGAATGCCGCGCCTGGATGCAGCACTGGGACTCATTCTACCTGTATTCGTTGTCTCCCACGTGTATGCCTCCATTGGTCCTCCTCATCCTCTCGACGTCTCTGGACGCTCGCCATGCGTAATAACCATAAGAGTCGCAATGATTGACCGTCATCCACTCATCTGTTGCTCTCGCTGGTCAGCAACTAGCGCAAGCACACGCATGTCAGCACGCAGACTCACAGCCGTCTCCTCGTCCGGAGCAAAGGTCGCACCTTACGCTCCCGTCCTCATCCGCCATGCCTAAATTCTTCTTGTCGGTCAACATTCCCCAGCCCGCCTCAGCTGGATGCGTCTCGCAATGGCGACGACGTATCTGACGCATTCCTTGCTGCTGCTTGTGGGCGTCGCCGACTGCTTTACCTTCCCTTCCTCTCTCTGCTTCAGAACTCCCGGTCGACAGCGAGCACAGGCATGCAGACTGTGCATGAAGAAGACTCCGAAGGATCAGGCAGATCGCCTCAAGCAGGACGGGATCGCTGCGCTCATTCAGGGCAGGACAGAGCTAGCCAACGGTAGCAGAGGACTGCTCGCACCCGTCTGATGCTTCTGCAGACCTACTGACCAAGTACGTCGAGAGGAGCGAGGAGGCCGACGCCAAGGTTCTCAATGCACTCGGATCCATCCGATCGAATGCGGAAAAGTGGGAGGAAGCGATCGTTTTTTTCTCTCAAGCCATCGACGCGAGCTTGAGAGCAGGTAGGGGACGCCATGAGAGGCAGCATATGACTTGAGGTGACGAGAACAGGGGACAAGGCCTCTCAGGCGAACGCTCACTTCAACCTGGGCAACGTCTTCTCGTCGATGCAAAGGCTCGAGAAAGCGTCCTCCAACTTCGAGCGGGCGGTAGAGATCATGCCGGGCGACGTGGAAGCGATCACGAATCTTGCGCTCTGCCAGATCAAGCTTGGCGAGGTCTGCGAGCTGACAGTTGACAAGGAGAGTGACGTCACTGATCCATTGCCAAGAACACGCTGGCGCTACAGCAATTGGAACGAGCATATATGCTCGACCCGAAGAATCACATTGTAGCTCTCAACTACGGTCAGTGGAAGAACGCCAGGTTGTACAAGAGTTTGACTCGACCTCAAGGAAACTGCCTGGCAGATGCCGGAATGAACTCGCAGGCTGTGGATGTTTTGCAGGCTGCCGTCGAACTCAGCGATGGAATGGACTCGGAGCTCTTTTTGAACCTTGGGGTTGCAGCGAAAAGAAGCGGTGAGCATGGTCTAGTGAGAGTGCGACTTGTCTGAATGGAGTGAAAGGAATGAAGAAGTTGTCCATCGATTCTCTCAGACGCTCGTTGGAACTGAAGGCAAGAACACTCCAGCATTCAAGAGTTGAGATGATGTCGTCACTTCCAGCCCGATCAAGTTCTTGCGAAAAGGCTCATGCTGGCTCAGATTGAGGACGGAGAGAGGTCACTGCGGTAACATCTAGCAGGAAGACTGACTGACTGGCTGAAAGGTCCAAGGATCAAGATTGGTATCTGACGGAGAAAGAGAATGCGGAATACGCTCGGTTGGTAAATTTGACTAACACAACTTGAAGCATCATGCGATCTTTCTTTACGTTTCATCTTTCTCTTCTGCAGCATACTCTTCGATGATTATGCAGAAAAATTTGAGGAAGAGTTGACGCAGGTGGGGTAGCTGGTGCCTTGTCTTGCTGCTGACCCCAGCGAAAGCAACTAGATTACAAAGTCCCCGAGCAGATCGTCGAGCTGCTCCTTCAGAACGTGATGAATCATTCTAGCCTGAGCAGTCCGGACCAGATATCGTGGAATTCTGTCCTCGACGCAGGTTGCGGTTCAGGACTGGTGGGCGAGGCGATACACGAATACACCGATCGTATTTTTGGCGTCGACATATCACAGGAGATGGTGTTGCCGGGTTGTGTTGCCGAGTGAAACAGTAACGATGGATGCAGGTGAAGAAGACCAGGGAGAGGAGATGTGCAGATGGTCAGAAGATGTACACCATGGTAGAAGATCAAGAGTTGGTTGCCTATATGAGGGCGCAGGGCGAGAGCTCATGTTGTATTCATCATCGACTCTCCTCGCCGGTGTCACTCATGTTTCCTTTTGTTTCCAGTTGACGCGATTGTGGCTGCGGATGTCTTGTGCTACTTTGGAGACCTTGTAGATTTTTTCAAGGAAGCTCGACGAATCCTTGCAACGGGTAGGAGTGACTTACCTGCTCCTGGGGCCACTTACCTTGTCTTCAGGTCAATGCTCCGGTTGGTTGGCTTTCAGCACGGAAGATGTTGTGGAAGGCAAGGATGATGGCAAGGCGGCCAGGGGATTCTGTCTCCTCAACACAGGGAGGTAAATCCATCCATCCTTACTTTCTCCTTTCACGTGGCAAACTAGGTACGCTCATCGTGTCAATTATGTCTCTGAGAAGCTCAGTGCTGCTGGTTTCTCATATGTCAGCTCCACCAGCAGGACTCTGCGCAAGAGTGGATCTCAAGTGATCAAAGGGAAAATCTGGATCGCAAGGACTTGACAGCGGGGCGAGCAGGGTTATGTGACTCGCTCCGCAGGAAAAATGGTGTTAATTTTGCTTGCCATGAAGCGAGGCTGTATATTACAATGATACATGTGAACTCATTACCAGGCCAATCTTTCAGAAGTTCATTTCATATACATCCAAGTCATGCCAGTGGTACTAGCAGCAGAGAAGTTTGAAATTTCTACGAGACTGCCAGTCACTGATGGTCTATTCGAGGCCGGCGATTCAGACCGTATCGGACGGTCACCAACCGTGACTCAGTGAGGAGCCAGTGACTGTCAGGCCGGGCTGGGCCCCCAAAGTTCTGCCCGGGCCCGCGAGCCAGTCAGGCTGCTCCCCCCGGGTACCGTAGCTTACTAGTATGCTGTCTGTTAGACCGTCCGTGCCGCGCGGTGCGGCCCGGGGACTGTACAGTGCTGCCACTCGGCCCGTCGGAGGATCAAGCGGCCTGACTCTGAGCACTGCGGCAAGTTTCAAGTTTCATAGAAAACATTTTAATTATTTTCACAGGATTTCTAGGTAGTTCTTTCCTCATCAGTAGGGCAGCAGAATATACTTAGGGGCTCCCCTAATAGATAGTCCTGTGAAGGATGTCCATGCTGCCAAAAGTCGCGCCCCGGATGCTGGTTGCGACAAGGGCAGGGGAGGGAGGCAGACAAGTATGGCGAGAGAATGCTTGAGATGAGAGGGAGGAGCTGATCAGAGACAGCAAGACATTAGCTTGTACCAGCTCTTGCACAGGAAACATGCAGGCTATCGCACGATCTGGGAGGACGCTGACCGCACTCGTCATTTCGACTGCGATCATTTTTGCTTTTATCCTAATCCTCGCTCAGAGGAGGGAAATCACCTCCTTGAGTCAGCGCCAACGGCAGTCGCTGCAGACCCTCGAAGACGTGTTCTCAGCTCCTCTAGATGCTGTGGGAGGGTTTGTGGTCAATCACCTGCCGGACTTAGCGATGAAAGAAGCAGGAGCAAGAGCAGGAGCAGGAGGGGAAGGGGTGGGAGGACGAACGAGGCCCGAGCGAGCGTCTGGGCTGAGCATGGGAGGCATGAAGGTAGGAACGACCCTCCAGCTCCAGTCCAACAATGGGCCATTGCAGCTTACCATTGACTCGCCGCCCGACAAGCATGGTGGCGTCAAGGTCCGTGTCCGCGGGCGCGAGGGTCAGTATGAGGCAGTGCTGCAGGTCAAGAGGGATGGAGTCAGTGAGGGGGGGAGGAAGGGGGAGGTCAGGGTGCTGGACGTCGGGGAACTTCGTCCTTCAAGCACGAGTGCGGGGAACAAGAAGCTAAGATCGCTGAAGCTTGTCTCAATGCCGCAAGGATGGTACGCCTACGACCCGATGGAAGAGATATCGGGCAAGGAGACGAGGTTTGCTGGCATCCATATCGAAGCGCCGTCATGCGGCTGCCCTGGCTGCCCATGTGATGCAGAAGCGCATCTGAAGGTGAGCCTGTCCTTTGTGTTGATGACAATGTTGGAGGAGGAGGTGGTGGTGGAGGGGATGATGATGGTGACGGTGATGGGAGTTAGAGGTAGTCGATGGTTCGAAGGTGAAGGAGGAGGAGGAGATGAGGATGATGTCTTCTTGTCGAGCTCTCGAAACCGCATCGCACCTCCTCTGATGGCTGCATGTTGCGCTTGATGGCATGTGAGCGAGCTTCTGACGCTGTTGGCAGATTGATGTCTTCTGTCCTCCCTACATCGCTCCTGACCATGGCAGCGTGTGGTACAAGGGCAGGCAATTCAACGACTCCACCTCGGAGGTTCCGACCAGTCGGCGTTCAATCAGGATCGGCTCAAAGACGCTGCCGGTGGCGCAGAAGGGAGACATCCCGGAGGGAGATGTTGTGCAGATCACTTGCAATGAACATTTTCAGGTTGGTACCTCAGTGTTGAGATGATGATTGGGTGAAGTGTGGTGTTCTGCTTGCTCCCGCGGTCGTTCCTTCGTCTCTGCCTCCTCCTCGCTCTCCTCCCTCTAGCTCCAGCTTCTCCTTGCTCTCCCTGCCTTGTGACCTTGTCCTACAGCTGTCGCGCGAAGGGTCCGAGATTCCTCGCTGTCTGTCCACTGGAGAATTTCAGCGAGGAAAGACCTGCGAGCCCATCATGTGCTCTGCCTATTACCCCCCGACAACGGAGGCGTCTGGCCGGACACTCCCGTACAGGTATGATCACCATCGCCTTGCCTTGCCTCTCCCCTCCTCTCCTTCCCTCCCCTCTCCTCCCTTCCCCTCTCCTCTCCCCTTGGCTCTGTCAGCTCACTTCCCGTCCTCTTCGCAGGCAGGCACCACGGTGACGGTCTACTGCTTCGAGGGCTTCGAGGAAGACTACGGGGATCACACGGAGAGCAGGAAGCCTCCTCCTCCGCAGGCGAGACTGCGGCCAGGGAGCATCCGCAATGCGCTGCAGAGCCTGCGGAGCGGGAAGTGGAGGAAGCTGCTGCCAAGCCGACAGCAACTGACCACCTCGAGAGCGGAGGCAGTGACGTTCAGAGGAGGAGGGGGGAAAGGGGAAGCAGGAGGAGGTGTGGGGAGAGGTGTGGGGAGGGTGCGGCATCCTGCCATTGGGCGTCTGTTGAGGTACAAGGCGCTTGCTCGCCTGCGGGAGAGGCGGGAGGACAGGAAGAGGAGGATGGCGAGGACGGGGCTCCCGGTGCTCCCTATGGACGACGTGATGGGAGGAAGCCAAGAGGCTGTGGATGAGGCTGTGCAGCACTTTGTGGATACAGGGACGACTGGCCTCTCTCCTCCATGGGCCCACAAGCGGGAGACTATGGCGGAAGCTCTTCGATCTGATCCTTCCCTTGCTCGCCCCCGCCCCCGGGTCTCTTCTCCTCGCCATGGCAGTGGAGGAGGAGCCAGGAGGCTTCTGTCTGTGGAGGAGGAAGAAGGGGTCGCCAACACGAAGCGGCGGCAACAGTGGAGGAAGAAGAAACACCCCATGTGCCTGGACAGTGGGAGGTTCGAGCAAGGAATCACTTGCAAGCCGATCCCAGGGGTCCCTCCTCCTCCTCCTTCCTCTCGCCCTCCTCCTCCTGGAAGCCGAGCAGCCACCACTATCTCTTCTCCTCCGCAGCCGCTGGACTTTCCTCCAGTCGCTCACTGGTCTGCGAACCACCCCCCCCCTCCTCTAAACCCTTTCCTCCCCTACTTACTTTTCCATGACAATCTCATCTATCACTTCTTCTGATCTGACGTTCTCCCCCTGTACTCTCTTCAGCTCCCCTCCTCCCTTTCCCCGTCCTCCTCGTCTTCTCGGCGACTTGACCTTCTGCTCAGCCCAGCCTACGTAGCGCCTGAGCATGGGAGTGCCTGGTACAAGGGGAAGGAGCACAAGATAGCGACCCCTGGGCCCATTGAAGAGAGACAATTCGTTACCATCACCTGCGATGTACGTGAAGGCTGATTCTCCTCCTCCTCCTCTCCCTCTGTTCTTTTTCTCCCCGCCGCCGCTGCTTCTGCTCCTTGTGCTGCTGCTGACGCCACCGCCTCGTCCTCGTTGTTTTTTTCTTTTTTCCTCCTCTTTCGTTCTCTCTGAATTGTTTCCCTTCTCTTATCCCACTCTCTTTCTGTTTCCAGGAGTACTACAGGCTCAGCGATCGCGGATCTCGCTGGCCGGAGTGTCTGCACGATGGGCAGGTGAAAACTACTTTTTCTTTCTACCTCAAAATCCCTCCCTCCCTCCCTCCCTCCCTCCCTCCCTCCTTCTCGTCTCCTCGTCCTCGTCAGTC